AGCTCCACAGCTCTGGTGGAGGTGTTTTTGGTTGTGCGTTTTGTTGGGGTTAGATGGTGTAAATGTGACCCTAATAAAAACCCGGCACCACCCGACACAGCCAACTAGTACAGGGTTGTCACGTAAACAGAACGTGGCCAATTCGTCACTAGTACAGCACTAGTGTGTAGTGTAGTGTGTAGTGTAGTGTGTAGTGTAGTGTGTAGTGTAGTGTGTAGTGTATAGTGTAGTGTGTAGTGTAGTGTGTAGTGTGTAGTGTAGTGTGTAGTGTAGTGTGTAGTGTAGTGTGTAGTGTATAGTGTAGTGTGTAGTGTAGTGTGTAGTGTATAGTGGTGTGTAGTGTAGTGTGTAGTGTATAGTGTAGTATACTAGTACAGCACTAGTACAGCACTAGTACAGCACTAGTGTATAGTGTAGTGTGTAGTGTATAGTGTAGTGTATAGTGTAGTGTGTAGTGTAGTGTGTAGTGTAGTGTATAGTGTGTAGTGTAGTGTGTAGTGTATAGTGTAGTGTATAGTATAGTATACTAGTACAGCACTAGTACAGCACTAGTACAGCACTAGTGTATAGTGTAGTGTGTAGTGTAGTGTATAGTGTAGTGTGTAGTGTAGTGTATAGTGTAGTGTATAGTGTAGTGTATAGTGTAGTGTATAGTGTAGTGTATAGTGTAGTATACTAGTACAGCACTAGTACAGCACTAGTGTATAGTGTAGTGTATAGTGTAGTGTGTAGTGTAGCGTGTAGTGTATAGTGTAGTGTGTAGTGTAGTGTATAGTGTAGTGTAGTGTGTAGTATACTAGTACAGCACTAGTGTGTAGTGTAGTGTAGCGTGTAGTGTAGCGTGTAGTGTAGCGTGTAGTGAAGCGTATAGTGTAATGTATAGTGTAGTATACTAGTACAGCACTAGTACAGCACTAGTGTATAGTATAGTGTGTAGTGTGTAGTGTAGTGTGTAGTGTATAGTGTAGTGTATAGTGTAGTATACTAGTACAGCACTAGTACAGCACTAGTGTATAGTGTAGTGTGTAGTGTATCGTGTAGTATGGTTTAGTATATAGTGTAGTGTATAGTATAGTGTAGTAGTGTAGTGAATAGTGTAGTGTACAGTGTAGTGTATAGTGTAGTATATATTGTAGTGTATGGTGTAGTATGGTTTAGTATATAGTGTAGTGTATAGTGTAGTGTATAGTGTAGTATGGTTTAGTATATGGTGTAGTGTAGTGTATAGTGTAGTATGTCTTAGTATATGGTGTAGTGTATAGTGTAGTATACTCATACAGCACTAGTGTATAATGTAGTGTGTAGTGTATAGTGTAGTGTACAGTGTAGTATACAGTGTAGTGTATAGTGCAGTGCATAGTGTAGTGCAGTGTAGTGTATAGTGTAGTGTACAGTGTAGTGTACAGTGCAGTGCACAGTGTAGTGCATAGTGTAGTGCACAGTGTAGTGCATAGTGTAGCGCATAGTGTAGTATATAGTGTAGTGCACAGTGTAGTGTGTAGTGTATAGTGTAGTGCATAGTGTAGCGTACTCATACAGCACACCGGTGTGTTGGAGAGCCGAGCCACAACATTTCCTATCCGAGTACCGTAAAGTTTCGCCAGTAATTACAACCAGCTTAATCAGGCGACAGGCAGACATGCGATCTAACCCAAACAAAAAAGCCTCCCCTACGGATATCGGTCTCTCAGCGCGGCCTTTACCCCTGGTGAAGATAAAAAAATAATAATTATAGTAATTATCAATTATTAATTATTAAGTTTCATTTGCAGATTCGCATGTTTGTAAAAGCGATTCCGTCGATACCTTTCCTACATATCCTTGATTCTGTCGGTAAAGTCACGCAGAAGGGAAACAAGAAAAATAAAACATAATACAATAAAGCGATTTTTTTGTTAAAAATTATATCACGTTAAATAATAAAAATAAAACAATAAAAACGCATTTTATCACGGCGTTCGATTATTTTTTATTATTATTTTATCGTTTCCCTTCCGCCCGGCGGCGGCGGCGACTTTACCGGGAAAGAACCACGAATGTGACTCCCTGCAGTCGCTGAAGCTTCACATCGAAACCTTTCCTGCACTTTGTACTCCTAACCGTGTCCGTAGCCGTCACGGCCTTTTACACCCTCACCCACCCACACACCCACACACCCAACACCCCACACACACACCCACACACCCAGCCACCACCCCACACACACACCCACACACCCACCCACCCAGCCACCACCCCACACACACACCCACCCACCCACCACCCCACACACACACATCCACCCACCACCCCACACACACACACCCACCACCCCACACACACACACACACCCACCACACACACACATCCACACACCCACCCACCACCCCACACACACACCCACCCACCCCACACACACACCCACCCACCCACCACCCCACACACACACCCACCCAGCCACCACCCCACACACCAACCCACCCACCCACCACCCCACACACACACACACCCACCCACCCCACACACACACCCACCCACCCACCACCACACACACACACACACCCACCCACCCACCACCCCACACACACACACACCCTCACCCACCCACCACCCCACACACCCACCCACCCACCCACCACCCCACACACACACCCACACACCCACCCACCCACCCCACACACACACACCGTGCTCCGGACTGGACATCGCTAAGGAAGAGGGAAGCTGCATCAGCCCATCGGATTCCCCTCCGGTAATGAATGCACCCTCCGGTTTGCGTCTCCGACGGTCGCGATGGGGCCACGGCAACAGCGCACCGGCAAACGCGGTGCCGGCATGGCAGAGTAGTCGCGTGTGGCTCGCTGTGAATGACCACGTGCTGAGCGTACTGCTGAGCGTACTGCTGAGCGTACTGCTGAGTGTACTACTGTGTGTACTGCTGAGTGTACTACTGTGTGTACTACTGAGTGTACTACTGAGTGTACTGCTGAGCGTACTACTGAGCGTACTACTGAGTGTACTAGTACTACTGAGTGTACTGCTGAGCGTACTGCTGAGCGTACTGCTGAGCGTACTGCTGAGCGTACTGCTGTGCGTACTGCTGAGCGTACTACTGAGCGTACTACTGAGTGTACTGCTGAGCGTACTGTTGTGTGTACTGCTGAGCGTACTGCTGAGCGTACTGCTGAGCGTACTGCTGAGCGTACTGCTGAGCGTACTGCTGTGCGTACTACTGAGTGTACTACTGTGTGTACTACTGAGCGTACTGCTGAGCGTACTGCTGTGCGTACTGCTGAGCGTACTGCTGAGCGTACTGCTGAGCGTACTGCTGAGCGTACTGCTGTGCGTACTGCTGAGTGTACTGCTGAGCGTACTGCTGAGCGTACTACTGTGCGTACTGCTGAGTGTACTGCTGAGCGTACTACTGAGCGTACTACTGTGTGTACTACTGAGTGTACTACTGTGTGTACTACTGAGCGTACTGCTGAGCGTACTGCTGAGCGTACTGCTGAGCGTACTGCTGTGCGTACTGCTGAGCGTACTACTGAGTGTACTGCTGAGCGTACTGCTGTGTGTACTGCTGAGCGTACTGCTGTGCGTACTGCTGAGCGTACTGCTGTGCGTACTACTGAGTGTACTACTGTGTGTACTACTGAGCGTACTGCTGAGCGTACTGCTGTGCGTACTGCTGAGCGTACTGCTGAGCGTACTGCTGTGCGTACTGCTGAGCGTACTGCTGTGCGTACTGCTGAGCGTACTGCTGAGCGTACTGCTGAGCGTACTGCTGAGCGTACTGCTGAGCGTACTACTGTGTGTACTGCTGAGTGTACTGCTGAGTGTACTGCTGAGCGTACTACTGAGTGTACTACTGTGTGTACTACTGAGTGTACTACTGAGTGTACTGCTGTGTGTACTGCTGTGTGTACTACTGAGTGTACTACTGAGTGTACTACTGTGTGTACTGCTGAGCGTACTGCTGAGCGTACTGCTGAGCGTACTGCTGAGCGTACTACTGTGCGTACTACTGAGTGTACTGCTGAGCGTACTGCTGAGCGTACTGCTGAGCGTACTACTGAGCGTACTACTGAGCGTACTACTGAGCGTACTACTGATTGTACTGCTGAGTGTACTGCTGAGTGTACTACTGAGTGTACTACTGTGTGTACTACTGTGTGTACTACTGAGTGTACTACTGAGTGTATTACTGTGTGTACTACTGAGTGTACTACTGAGTGTACTACTGTGTGTACTACTGAGTGTACTACTGAGCGTACTGCTGTGTGTACTACTGAGTGTACTACTGAGTGTACTGCTGTGTGTACTACTGAGTGTACTACTGAGTGTACTACTGTGTGTACTACTGAGTGTACTACTGAGCGTACTGCTGTGTGTACTACTGAGTGTACTACTGTGTGTACTACTGAGTGTACTACTGAGTGTACTACTGAGTGTACTGCTGTGTGTACTGCTGAGTGTACTACTGTGTGTACTACTGAGTGTACTACTGAGTGTACTACTGTGTGTACTGCTGAGTGTACTGCTGTGTGTATTGTCGTACCGACGGCCCCGTTTTACCCACACTTTACCCCACCATCACCACCACCACCACCAAGAGGAGGGAGTCACCCACACTTTACCCCACCACCACCAAGAGGTGGGAAGTCACCCACATTTAACAACGACACACTACCATAACACACACACACTCGTACACCGTAACACACACACACACACTCATACACCGTAACACACACACACTCATACACCGTAACACACACACACACACACTCGTACACCGTAACACACACACACACACTCGTACACCGTAACACACACACACTCATACACCGTAACACACACACACACACACTCATACACCGTAACACACACACTCGTACACCATAACACACACTCCATAACACACACACACTCATACACCGTAACACACACACACTCCATAACACACACACACTCATACACCGTAACACACACACACTCCATAACACACACACACTCATACACCGTAACACACACACACACTCATACACCGTAACACACACACACACTCGTACACCGTAACACACACAACGGATCTCTCACAACAGCAGTTGAAGTGGATGTCCCCAAGTCTTCAGAATGAAATTTCAACCCTCCGAATCTAACAGACACAGACAGAAGGCAAAACATCGTCATTAGCATCATCGTCATTGCACTTATCATCATCATCATCATCGCATTATCAGCATCATCATCATCAGCAGCAGCATCACTTAACACTTAAACATCCGACGGGAGTCCGTATGGAGCTGCCCTGCCGCACTCTAGCCCGGGGGCGGGCTGGTGGGGACGACCCGCCACCCGGGAGCGGGCAGGCGGGCGGGCGGGCGGGCAACGGGGGAGTCCAACTCATCCAGCGTCCGGCGTCCGTGACGCCGGACGGGCAACGGGGTGGGCTCCGCCGGCGGATCGGCCAGCGTCGTCCGCGTTTTTACCGTTGGGCTCGCGCGTCGAGTAAGCTGTGAACACGCCCGACCCGACGGCAGATACCCCACGGCTCGGGGCGAGCGGCGACATCACGAGTGCGGATGGGCATCGCGAGCCCTCGTTGCTCTGATGGGTGGCGTTTGCCTTCGTGCCGCGCGCGACTTTTGGCGTCCTCCGGTCTAACACCGTTTTTGAGACGAGGCTCAAAATTAAAAAAAAAACAAAAACAAAAGCCGCCTCTGCTGTGGACCAATCAGCTTCAAGGACAATGCCGCGCGGATTATCAGAGTGTGCGTTTTTTTTTGTGTGCATTCCGACCACAAGTGTTGTGGTTAATGCAGACATCATTCCACGTAAAAAAGGTTTCAGTTTGGTGTTTTAACATCTTAACGCGGCTGTTTTGTCTCCAGAAACATAGTTTAGTTTTCAAGTCTCGTGTCTCCTATTGCTGGAGAATCTGCAGGAGACTCCGTGTCTCTGTCTCACTCTCCCTCTACTGGAGACTCCGTGTCTCTGTCTCACTCTCCCTCTACTGGAGACTCAGTGTCTCTGTCTCACTATCCCACTGCTGGAGACTCAGTGTCTCTGTCTCACTCTCCCTCTGTTAGAGACTCAGTGTCTCTGTCTCACTCTCCCTCTCAGTGTCTCTGTCTCTCTAGTCTCAGCGTCTCCCTCTACTGGAGACTCAGTGTCTCTGTCTCACTCTCCCTCTCAGTGTCTCTGTCTCACTCTCCCTGTACTGGAGACTCCGTGTCTCTGTCTCACTCTCCCTCTGCTGGAGACTCAGTGTCTCTGTCTCACTCTCCCTCTACTGGAGACTCAGTGTCTCTGTCTCACTCTCCCTGTACTGGACACTCAGTGTCTCTGTCTCACTCTCCCTCTACTGGAGACTCAGTGTCTCTGTCTCACTCTCTCTCTGCTGGACACTCAGTGTCTCTGTCTCACTCTCTCTCTGCTGGACACTCCGTGTCTCTGTCTCACTCTCCCTCTGCTGGAGACTCCGTGTCTCTGTCTCACTCTCCCTCTGCTGGAGACTCAGTGTCTCTGTCTCACTCTCCCTCTGTTGGAGACTCAGTGTCTCTGTCTCACTCTCCCTCTGCTGGACACTCAGTGTCTCTGTCTCAGCGTCTCCCTCTGCTGGAGACTCAGTGTCTCTGTCCCACTCTCCCTCTGCTGGAGACTCAGTGTCTCTGTCTCACTCTCCCTCTACTGGAGACTCAGTGTCTCTGTCTCACTCTCCCTCTGCTGGAGACTCAGTGTCTCTATCTCACTCTCCCTCTGCTGGACACTCAGTGTCTCTGTCTCACTCTCCCTCTACTGGACACTCCGTGTCTCTGTCTCACTCTCCCTCTGCTGGACACTCAGTGTCTCTGTCCCACTCTCCCTCTGCTGGAGACTCAGTGTCTCTGTCTCAGCGTCTCCCTCTGCTGGAGACTCCGTGTCTCTGTCTCACTCTCCCTCTGCTGGAGACTCAGTGTCTCTGTCTCACTCTCCCTCTACTGGACACTCCGTGTCTCTGTCTCACTCTCCCTCTGCTGGAGACTCAATGTCTCTGTCTCAGCGTCTCCCTCTACTGGAGACTCAGTGTCTCTGTCTCACTCTCCCTCTACTGGAGACTCAGTGTCTCTGTCTCACTCTCCATCTACTGGAGACTCAGTGTCTCTGTCTCACTCTCCCTCTGCTGGAGACTCAGTGTCTCTGTCTCACTCTCCCTCTGTTGGAGACTCAGTGTCTCTGTCTCACTCTCCCTCTGCTGGACACTCCGTGTCTCTGTCTCACTCTCCCTCTGCTGGAGACTCAGTGTCTCTGTCTCACTCTTCCTCTGCTGGAGACTCAGTGTCTCTGTCTCACTCTCCCTCTGCTGGAGACTCAGTGTCTCTGTCTCACTCTCCCTCTACTGGAGACTCAGTGTCTCTGTCTCACTCTCCCTCTACTGGAGACTCAGTGTCTCTGTCTCACTCTCCCTCTGCTGGAGACTCAGTGTCTCTGTCTCACTCTCCCTCTGCTGGAGACTCAGTGTCTCTGTCTCACTCTCCATCTACTGGAGACTCAGTGTCTCCGTCTCACTCTCCTTCTGCTGGACACTCAGTGTCTCACTGCCTCTCTAGTCTCAGCGTCTCCCTCTACTGGACACTCAGTGTCTCTGTCTCCAGCCTGTGTCTCCCTCTGCTGGGGGCCTCAGGATCTCTCTCCGTCTCTGCGTGTGTGCGCGTGCATGTGCGCGTGTGTGCGACGTGCGTGCGCGTGCGTGTGCGCGTGTGTGCCTGAGTGTGTTCGCGTGTGCCTGCGTGTGTGTGCCTGCGTGTGTGTGCGTGCGTGCGTACGTGTGCGTGTACGCGTGTGGTGCACGGCCGAGATCTCATTACATTTCGCCGCTGCCGTCGGGCTCCTGTGCTTGTCCGCGAGAATCTCCGACACCGGCACCGTGGTTCCCATGCGCGGCACCACCCGCGTGGTCACCGCCGGCTCCGCCGCCGCCGCCGCCGCCGCCGCCGCCTTGTGGTGCAGCGACTGCTGCAGCTTGTGGCTGAGCTCCTGCGAGAACTCTTTGGAGAATCCCACCGGGACGCCCCCCGCGGGGACTCCGCCCACCACGACCGCCGCCATCCTCCGCTTCTCCGCCGGAAAGCCGCCCCCGCCGCCCCCGCTGCCCCCACTGCCTCCGCCGCCATCCAACGGCTTCCCTTCCCGGGCAAACTTCCTGGCCGGCGTCGGTGGGCCCCCCCGTCCCGAGCCCCCGCCCTCCGGCGTTCCCGGGGGCCTGCCGGCGGCGGCCCGGGCCACCCCGTGCCCGTCCGCGGAGGCGGCGCCGAGCGGCCTTCCGTAACCGCGGCGATCTGCGGCGGGGGGCCGGAGACGTTGCCTCCTTCCGTCGGCGTCGGCGGCGTCGGCGTCGGCGTCCGGCGTCGTCCCGGCGACGGTTTTGCCGGCGGTCCGAGGTGGCCCGCGTGCGTCCGGCACGCGGCCGGGAGGGTAGTCGGGTGGCCCCGCGGTCAATCTCGCCGGCTCCCCGTTCCCCGGGATCGAGCAGCCCCCTCGGGGAGGCTGCTCCCTCCGTCCGCCGCCCTCCGGCACTGCCGGGGGGTCTCCGGCCGCCGCCGCGGCTTTCCCGGCGGTCTGGGCTCCTCCGGGTCCCTCGGCGCCGGGGTAAGGGATCTGGCCCGGGGGGTAGTCCGGAAAGCCTCCGGAAATTCGAACGGGCTCCCTGCTCCCCGGGATCCCGTATCCGGCTCTGCGGCTCCGGCAGAGCTGTTCCCTCCTTCCGTCCTCTTCGGAGAGGTTTCCCGACAGCGGCCGCCGCTGCCGCTGCTGCTGCTGCTGCTGCTTCTTCGGGATCAGCTCCACAAGCCTCGCTTCCCGCTGGACAGCGAAATTCACGGCTGGTTCGGGCACCAGAGCCGGGGAAGAATGAGCAGGAGGGTAATACCCGGCGGTGCCGGCGGTGCCAGCGGCGAGGCTCAACCCGTCGGGGTAGCTGCGGTTGCCGGCGCTCTCCCGGACGAGCCCCCAAGACGTCGCCACTTCCCGGTGCTGCTTCCTCTGCGAGAGCTTCTCCCAGTGCCGCGCCTCGTCCTCCAGGAAGTCCGGGAGCGACGCTCCGTGCACGGGCCTGGCCCTGGGCGGGCCCCAGCCGTCCGCGGGCGGAGGCTGGGCCGGAAAGGCCGCGGCCTGCCCGGGAGGTGCCGCGGCCTGGGCGGCGAGGGTGAGAACCGGCGACGCTCGCGAGCGCGTGGGCGTGGCCTGCGCCACGGGGGGCCTCCCCGCCTGCGCGGGAGCGGGCGGGGCTTGCGCGGGAAGGGGCGGGGCTTGCGCGGGAAGGGGCGGGGCTTGCGCGGGAAGGGGCGGGGCTTGCGCGGGAAGGGGCGGGGCGGGCGACGAGTCGCGCGACGGCCTCGCGCTGCCATTTCTGGAGACGACGTCGTTGTAAGAGGAATCTGTAGAGAGAGAGAATCGGGAGAACTTCGTTGGATTTGATTTTTATTTTTGTCAATTAAAGAGGAAAAAAAAAGGGCCTCCCGTGGCTATGCCTGTGCCACACTCGTGCAACCGGGGCCCTCGTGTTGGAGCGGTGCACGCGTGCAGAGCGAGGGGGCAGCTGGGGATCAGAGGCCACAGGCGCCGAGATCCTGGGCTTCAGGTACTGTGCACCCCCCGCGGAACTCCCAACCCCACAACGCCCGCTCACAACCACCCGCCCCCACCCCCCAATTACCCCCCCACCGAACTCCCACGGACCTCCACACTCCCCACCCACCACCCCCCAATTACCCCCCCACCGAACTCCCACGGACCTCCACACTCCCCACCCACCACCCCCCAATTACCCCCCCACCGAACTCCCACGGACCTCCACACTCCCCACCCACCACCCCCCAATTACCCCCCCACCGAACTCCCACGGACCTCCACACTCCCCACCCACCACCCCCCAATTACCCCCCCACCGAACTCCCACGGACCTCCACACTCCCCACCCACCACCCCCCAATTACCCCCCCACCGAACTCCCACGGACCTCCACACTCCCCACCCACCACCCCCCAATTACCCCCCCACCGAACTCCCACGGACCTCCACACTCCCCACCCACCACCCCCCAATTACCCCCCCACCGAACTCCCACGGACCTCCACACTCCCCACCCACCACCCCCCAATTACCCCCCCACCGAACTCCCACGGACCTCCACACTCCCCACCCACCACCCCCCAATTACCCCCCCACCGAACTCCCACGGACCTCCACACTCCCCACCCACCACCCCCCAATTACCCCCCCACCGAACTCCCACGGACCTCCACACTCCCCACCCACCACCCCCCAATTACCCCCCCACCGCACTCCCACGGACCTCCACACTCCCCACCCACCACCCCCCAATTACCCCCCCACCGCACTCCCACGGACCTCCACACTCCCCACCCACCACCCCCCAAACGCCCCGCACGGACCTCCCCACCCACAACACACGCTCCCCACCACCACCACCACCACCCCAACGTTCCCCACCGTGCACACACCCACCCCTCCACCCCTCCACCCCCCACCCCTCCACTGCTCCCCCTCCACCCCCCCACCCGACGGACCTTCGCACTCCTGCAGCAGCTGGGCGGCGGTGAGCAGGCAGGCTCGGTGCTCGGGGTCCAGGATGCGCATCTTGGTGAGGTCGTCGGCATCCAGCAGCTTCAGCATGTCCAGCTCCTCGAAGCCGTTGCTCATGAGCGTGCCCGTGTGCTCCTGCCGAGCGCCGGGAGCACAAACGCGAGGGGGTGCGGGGTGCGGGGTGCGGGGGGCCGCCGGTGAACGTCGTGGCAACGCCGCAACGTTGTTCAGGGGGCTTGGCCACGGGACAAACGGGACCCACGCCCCCACTCGCTCACCTACTCAATCAGTCACTCACAAAACTCATTCACTCATTCGCAAGGGGAGGGTTGGTGTGGCGCTAGTGAACGTCGTGCCGACGCCGCTGTTGTTCAGGGGGCTTGGCCACGGGACAAACAGGACCCACGCCCCCACTCGCTCACCTACTCAATCAGTCAGCCGCAAAACTCATTCACTCATTCACAAGGGGAGGGTTGGTGTGGCCCTAGTGAACGTTGTGGCAACGCTGCTCCTCAGGGGCTTAGCCACGGGTCAAACGGGACCCACGCCCCCACTCGCTCACCTACTCAATCAGTCACCCGCAAAACTCATTCACTCATTCACAAGGGGAGGGTTGGTGTGGCGCTAGTGAACGTTGTGGCAACGCTGCCGCTGAGGGGCTTAGCCACGGGACAAACGGGACCCACGCCCACTCACTCACCTACTCAGTCAGTCACCCACAAAACTCATTCGCAAGGGGAGGGTTGGTGAGGCGCTAGTGAACGTTGTGGCAACGCTGCTCCTCAGGGGCTTAGCCACGAGACAAACGGGACCCACGCCCACTCGCTCACCTACTCAATCAGTCACCCGCAAAACTCATTCACAAGGGGATGGTTGGTGTGGCGCTAGTGAACGTTGTGGCAACGCTGCTGCTGAGGGGCTTAGCCACGGGACAAACGGGACCCACGCCCACTCACTCACCTACTCAATCAGTCACCCACAAAACTCATTCACTCATTCGCAAGGGGAGGGTTGGTGTGGCCCTAGTGAACGTTGTGGCAACGCTGCCGCTGAGGGGCTTAGCCACGAGACAAACGGGACCCACGCCCACTCACTCACCTACTCAAATCATTCACTTACTAACTCACCTACTTAATAATTCACTCACCTCAATAAATCACTCACCTACTCAATCACTCACTCACTCACCCACTCATTGATTAAATTACAAGCGAAGGGTTGGTATGGCGCAAGCGGACGTTGTGCCAACGCAGCTACTGCTGCTAAGGGGCCTAGCCACGAGACACGCTCACTCACTCACCTACTCAATCGTTCACTCACCCATTCACTCATCAAGTCACTCGCTCGCTCAGTCACCGACTTACTCTTGTTCAATCGATACGATGATGGGTTATTGCTCCCGTGAACTTCACTTGCCTGGCCAATCCCTCACTCACTCACAGGTGGGTCAGTCGCCTCCGTGTCACTCTTCTACCGCTACTACTAGTGTGGACTTCACTCAGCCAGTCATTCCAGACGCTCACTCACTCACAGGTGGGCCAGTCGCCTGCCTGTCGCTCTCCTATCACCGGCCATCGAACAAAGACGGTGATCGCCGGCACCGCGTTCCGATGCGCCGCTTCCGCGGCCGTCTGGAACGCTCTTCCTTCCTCCGGACATTGGGAAGCCTCTCGGAGCTTGCCACCTTTAGATCGTCATCTAGATTGACGAACTCGCTTCTCTACGACATTTTTGTTTTGCCTTCAGGCCGTTGTCCTTCCCAACGAACCTCCGATTCAGCACGGCTGGCCAACGTACGGCGTGAAGGAACTCGCATGCACACGCACGCACGCACGTACCTCCATGCCGATGCGCTTGAGCACGTGCGGGACCGTGGCGAGGCGGATGCGGTGAGGGGGCCGCGAGGGACGCTCCGTGTGGCGGCACCGGTCCAGGGAGCCCCCCTAAGAGCCCCCCACAACCATCACCACCACCACCGCGCTGGTCCCAGAGCGAACGCGGCGGCTCATACACGCTCATACAAATGTCCCGTGTACGTACGTACGTATGCACGTATGTATGCTGAAGTTCTTTCGCGCCGTACGTGGCCCATCGTGTTAAATCGGAGGCGTAGCCTTTAACCGGGCTGTTGATGAGAGTGCTGCACACGAGAAACTAACTACTTACCATTTTTATTTTACGTAGGTAAGGAACACTGAGCTTATGTAGCTCTTTTTTTAGAAGTGACCTGGCTATCAGAAATGAGAGCGCCAAAAAAAAAAGTGGCTAATTATCATCACGTGGAAATTTATCGCAAATTCAAATACTCGAAACCAGGGGTGGGGGAGAACCCTTTTTTTCTGCCAAGGGCCATTTGGATATTTATGTAACATCATTTCGCGGGCCACACAAAATGATCAACCGAAAAATTAGCCCGTATTATTTCGTCAAACATTTAATTAACTCACCCCTAATGCGATGGGCTGGAACCGCTTCTCTTTGGCGAGGTGTGTGGTGACGTTAGCCGGTGTTGATGACGTTAGCTGGTATTGATGACGTTAGCTGGTATTGATGACGTTAGCTGGTATTGATGACGTTAGCTGGTATTGATGACGTTAGCTGGTATTGATGACGTTAGCTGGTATTGATGATGTTAGCTGGTATTGATGACGTTAGCTGGTATTGATGACGTTAGCTGGTATTGATGACGTTAGCTGGTATTGATGACGTTAGCTGGTATTGATGACGTTAGCTGGTATTGATGACGTTAGCTGGTATTGATGACGTTAGCTGGTATTGATGACGTTAGCCGGTGTTGATGACGTTAGCTGGTATTGATGATGTTAGCTGGTATTGATGACGTTAGCTGGTATTGATGATGTTAGCTGGTATTGATGATGTTAGCTGGTATTGATGACGTTAGCCGGTGTTGATGACGTTAGCCGGTATTGATGACGTTAGCTGGTATTGATGACGTTAGCTGGTATTGATGACGTTAGCTGGTATTGATGACGTTAGCTGGTATTGATGACGTTAGCTGGTATTGATGACGTTAGCTGGTATTGATGACGTTAGCTGGTATTGATGACGTTAGCTGGTATTGATGACGTTAGCTGGTATTGATGACGTTAGCTGGTATTGATGATGTTAGCTGGTATTGATGATGTTAGCTGGTATTGATGATGTTAGCTGGCTATTGACGATGTTGCAGCTACTCGCGACTGCTTTTCCAGGGCTTTGCTCTCCTAGATTTATTGAATTTCGAGTCCCGCCTGCGGTTGCCTTGGCAGGGCCAGAGACCCAAATTATTTCGCGGGCCTCATAAGGCCCGTGGGCCGGACGTTCCCCACCCCTGCTCTAAACGCATGTTTATAAGTGTGTAGAGAAAAATCAAAGAACCCGGAGAATAATCCACGCCACCACGGGGAGAGACGCGCAAACTCCAAATATACGGTAGGCAGGCATCAGGGTCGGCGATCGAACCCACGACTTCGTGCATACCAGGCGAGGTAGTTAACATCTCCTAGCCACTGTGATGATGATGAGAGACGCGTAAACTTAAAAACATACAGCAGCAGACGTCAGAGTCGGGATCGAACCCACGACCTCATGTATACCGTGCGAGGTAGTTAACATCTCCTAGCCACCGTGATGATGATGGTGGTGGTGGTGGAACCCACGACCTCCTGTACACCAGGCGAGGTAGTCAACATCTCCTAGCCACCGTGATGATGATGGTGGTGGTGGAACCCAGGACCTCCTGTACACCAGGCGAGGTAGTTAACATCTCCTAGCCACCGTGGCGCCCCGAGTAGCAGCGTCTATGAAGGACAAAGATCCCCCGTAGAGCCTTTACCAGGCTGTTGGGGCAAGTGCTTGCAGAGCAGGCCTCCATCCAGCAGTAGAGTGACCATGGCTGATGATGATGATGGTGGAGGCTCAGGGTGGCCTCCATCCAGCAGTGGAGTGACTATGGCTGACGATGATGATGATGATGGTGGAGGCTTGGGGTGGCCTCCATCCAGCAGTGGAGTGACCATGGCTGATGATGATGATGGTGGAGGCTTGGGGTGGCCTCCATCTAGCATTGGAGTGACCATGGCTGATGATGATGATGATGATGGTGGAGGCTCAGGGTGGCCTCCATCCAGCAGTGGAGTGACCATGGCTGATGATGATGATGGTGGTGGGGGCTTGGGGTGGCCTCTATCCAGCATTGGAGTGACCATGGCTGATGGTGGTGGGGGCTTGGGGTGGCCTCCATCCAGCAGTAGAGTGACCATGGCTGATGATGATGATGATGGTGGAGGCTTGGGGTGGCCTCCATCCAGCAGTAGAGTGACCATGGCTGACGATGATGATGGTGGTGGAGGCTTGGGGTGACCTCTATCCAGCAGTGAAGTGACCATGGCTGATGATGCTGACGGTGGCGGTGGCGATGAGGAATCGGCGAGATGACGCCGACGGAAGGGAAATCGAACCCAGGTGTCAAAGGTCGTGCTGTCACTCACCTCCCCGTCCTCCCTCGTCCGCTGGGTGTCCACCGACGAGTCCACCGTGTGTCCACCTTGGGTGGACAACAACCACAATGGGTCAACCGCCCAGCCCGCCCGGTCACACAAAGACAAAGCTCCTCCCACCCCCATTGTAGCCTCAACGGACTGTCGGGGCAAGTGCCGTTAATGAGTAGCAGCACAGACAAAGTGTCCTGGCCGTGAGTACGTGCCCGCTCGCTAACAGCACTTGCCCCAAAAGTCCGTCAAAGGGTTACACGGGGGACCTTTGTCTGTGTCTCCTTAACAGGCGCTGCTACACGCTGACAGCACTTGCCCCAACAGCCTGTATAGAGGCTACACGGGGGACCTTTGTCTGTGTCTCTTTCATAAGCGCTGCTACACGCTGACAGCACTTGCCCCGACAGCCTTACAGAGGCTACACGGGGGATGTTTGTCTGTGTCTCCTTCATAGGCACTGCTGCTACTCGCAAACCGCACTTGCTCCAACAGCCTGTATAGAGGCTACACGGGGGACCTTTGCCTGTGTCTCTTTCATAAGCACTGCTACACGCTGACAGCACTTGCCCCAACAGCCTTATAGAGGCTACACGGGGGATGTTTGCCTGTGTCTCCTTCATAGGCACTGCTGCTACTCGCAAACCGCACTTGCTCCAACAGCCTGTATAGAGGCTACACGGGGGACCTTTGCCTGTGTCTCTTTCATAAGCGCTACTACACGCTGACAGCCCTTGCCCCAACAGCCTGTACAGAGGCTACACGGGGGACCTTTGTCTGTGTCTCTTTCATAAGCGCTGCTACACGCTGACAGCACTTGCCCCAACAGCCTGTTAAAGGCTACACACGGGTGATCTTTGCCAGTGTCTCCTTCATTAGGCACCGCTGCTGCTGCTACTTGCTAACAACACTTGCCCCAGCAAACTGTTAAGGGCTACACAGCGGATCTGTGTCAGCGTCTCCTTCATAGGCACCGCTACACCCTGACAGCAGCCTGTATAGAGGCTACACGGGGGACCTGTGTCTGTGTCTCCTTCACAGGGGCTGCTGCTGCTACTCGCTACTTGCTAAGAGCACTTGCCCCAACAGCCAGTTAAAGGCTACACGGGGGATCTTTGTCTTTTTCTCCATCAAAGGCGCTGCTATTCGCTGACAGCACTTGCCCCAACAGCCAGTTAAAGGCTATATGGGGGATCTTTATCTTTGTCTCCATCAAAGGCGCTGCTACACGCTGACAGCACTTGCCCCAACAGCCAGTTAAAGGCTACACGGGGGATCTTTGTCTGTGTCTCCATCAAAGGCGCCGCTACACGCTAACAGCACTTGCCCCAACAGCCAGTTAAAGGCTACACGGGGGATCTTTATCTTTGTCTCCATCAAAGGCGCTGCTACACACTGACAGCACTTGCCCCAACAGCCAGTTAAAGGCTACACGGGGGATCTTTGTCTGTGTCTCCATCAAAGGCGCTGCTACACTCTAACAGCACTTGCCCCAACAGCCAGTTAAAGGCTACACGGGGGATCTTTGTCTTTGTCTCCATCAAAGGCGCTGCAATTCGCTGACAGCACTTGCCCCAACAGCCAGTTAAAGGCTACACGGGGGATCTTTGTCTTTGTCTCCATCAAAGGCGCTGCAATTCGCTGACAGCACTTGCCCCAACAGCCAGTTAAAGGCTACACGGGGGATCTTTGTCTTTGTCTCCATCAAAGGCACTGCTGCTGCTACTTGCTAACAGCACTTGCCCCAACAGCCAGTTAAAGGCTACACGGGGGATCTTTGTCAGTGTCTCCTTTGTAGGCGCCGCCGCTGCTGCTGCTGCTGCTGCTACTTGCTAACAGCACTTGCCCCAACAGTCGACCAAGGGCTACGTGGTGGTGGTGGTGGTGGGGGCGAGGGTTGAACTCACTGGCACAGCTGTAGGCGCTGCCGCTGCTGCTGCTGCTGCTGCTTGCTAACAGCACTTGCCCCAACAGTCCACCAAGGGCTACGTGGTGGTGGTGGTGGTGGCGGGGGTTGAACTCACTGGCACAGCTGTAGGCGCTGCCGCTGCTGCTGCTGCTGCTGCTACTTGCTAACAGCACTTGCCCCAACAGTCCACCAAGGGCTACGTGGTGGTGGTGGTGGTGGAGGTGGTGGTGGCGAGGGTTGAACTCACTGGCACAGCTGTAGGCGCCGCCGCTGCTGCTGCTGCTGCTACTTGCTAACAGCACTTGCCCCAACAGTCCACCAAGGGCTACGTGGTGGTGGTGGTGGTGGCGAGGGTTGAACTCACTGGCACAGCTGTAGGCGCCGCCGCTGCTGCTGCTGCTGCTACTACTTGCTAACAGCACTTGCCCCAACAGTCGACCAAGGGCTACGTGGTGGTGGTGGTGGTGGTGGAGGTGGTGGTGGCGGGGGTTGAACTCACTGGCACAGCTGTAGGCGCCGCCGCTGCTGCCGCTGCTGCTGCTACTGCTGCTGCTACTTGCTAACAGCACTTGCCCCAACAGTCGACCAAGGGCTACGTGGTGGTGGTGGAGGTGGTGGTGGCGAGGGTTGAACTCACTGGCACAGCTGTAGGCGCTGCCGCTGCTGCTGCTACTTGCTAACAGCACTTGCCCCAACAGTCGACCAAGGGCTACGTGGTGGTGGTGGTGGTGGAGGTGGTGGTGGCGGGGGTTGAACTCACTGGCACAGCTGTAGGCGCTGCCGCTGCTGCGGCTGCTGCTGCTGCTGCTACTTGCTAACAGCACTTGCCCCAACAGTCGACCAAGGGCTACGTGGTGGTGGTGGTGGCGAGGGTTGAACTCACTGGCACAGCTGTAGGCGCTACCGCTGCTTGCGCTGGACTGCAGGCTGTCGCGCGAGCGGCCCAGGCTGAAGCCCACGCTAGGCCCGAACGAAGAGAAGCCTCCCACAGCCTCGCTGGAGGCGGCCTGCGGGCACCGGCGAGAGAAAGACACGGGGTCGCGGGGGAAGGGTCGCGGGGAAGGTCGCGGGGAGGTCACGGGGAGGTCGCGCAATCCTTAGTCTACGCCGAGGAGATCCAGCGAGGGGGCGAGTCTTGAGCCTCGTCCGAATTGCATCTGGAAGGATGTACGTCGCCATCCGTCCCTCCTCGGAGGCGTGGGCGTGGGTGGGGGAGCACGACAAACCCAGCGCAAAAAAGGCGTCGCAATGAAATGAGTTTGTTTTTCAACCCGGGCGATTAAAACGTGCACGGACCCAGTGGCTTCCCAACACCGGGAGGAGCGTTCCACCGGTGCTAGAAACAGCGTGGACCAAAGTGGACAGTGAAAGGACGATGCAAAAATTAGCCCCTTTCCTCGCTCATAATCGTGCCACGGTGGTCGGAGGTACTGGTGTTAACGGAGTTCCGGACGGGGTGAGTTTTGAGCTTCGTCCGCATCAGGGAATCACTCGGATCAGACAACACCCACCCCCGAACAACCCCACCCTCCCCCCCCTTCTAACCCCATCCTTTCCCGTACTTCCCACAGCTCTCCACCGATCCCATTAATTTCCCCTCCCAACGGTTGTCCCAAACCGAGCCCGGGAGAGCTTGACGGGGGGGGGGGGGGGGGGGGGATTCACTATCAGCATCAGCAGTCACGATCCACCGCCATCGGAATCAGAAGTCCTTCTTCAAAGGCTGACCCCATCCCTGTAGGAATTAATGAGTAGGCACAAGGACTATTTGCCTCCTCCTCCAACTCCTCCAACTCCTCCAACTCCTCCCCCTCCCACCCTCCTCCCCCTCCCACCCTCCTCCCCCTCCCAGCCTCCTCCCCCTCTCCCCCTCCCACCCTCCTCACCCTCTCCTCCTCCTCCCCCTCCCAGCCTCCTCCCCCTCCCAGCCTCCTCCTCCTCTCCTCCTCCTCCCCCTCCCAGCCTCCTCCCCCTCCCACCCTCCTCCCCCTCCCACCCTCCTCCCCCTCCCAGTCTCCTCCCCCTCCCAGTCTCCTCCCCCTCGCACCCTCCTCCCCCTCCCACCCTCCTCCCCCTCGCCCACCCTCCTCCCCCCCTCCCACCCTCCTCCCCCTTCACCTCTTCCCAATCCTCCTCATCCCCCCCCTTCACCTCAATACATTAAATGGGTAAAGCCACACAGCATCACCTCATTCCCACTTCTCCACCACCCTCCTCCACCCCTCCTCCTTACCCTCACACCGCCCACGCCCCCCACACCGCCCACGCCCCCTCACACCGCCCACGGCCCCCCACACCGCCCACGGCCCCCCACACCGCCCACGCCCCCCACACACCTTGTCGTGCCGCGGCGAGGGGGTGAGGAGCTTGCGACGCACGGAGGCCATCACGCGCCGGATCAGCCCCGGGGACGGGTGCTCGTTGGCGGGGGACTCACGATCGGGGGGCTGGTAGGCGGCACGGGGGAGGCGGAGGTGAGTGGGGGGGGGGGGTGAGGAGATGGGGGGGGAGGGGTGGGGGGCATGAACCGTCACGCAAGGCCGGCTCATCCGCGCGGATAGCCGTCGGACAAAAACGGCTTTTCAGATGCGCGATGAGGTGACCCCCCCCCCCCCCCCCCGCCTGGAACGGTCACTGCATGGTGGGGGAGGAGGAGGGAAAGGTTGAGGAGGAGGAGTGGGAGAAGGAGGAGTGGGAGAAGGAAGAGTGGGAGGAGGAGGTGGAGTGGGAGAAGGAAGAGTGGGAGGAGGAGGTGGAGGAGTGGAGGGAGAGAGGGAGGGAGGGAGAGAGGGAGGGAGGGAGGGAGGGAGGGAGGGAGGGAGGGAGGGAGGGAGGGAGGGAGGGAGGGAGGGAGGGAGGGAGGGAGGGAGGGAGGGAGGGAGGGGAGGGAGGGGAGTAAGTGAGGTAGGGGGTGAGTGAGTGGGTGAGTGGGTGAGTGAGTGAGGTAGGGAGTGAGTGAGTGGGTGAGTGAGTGAGTGAGGTAGGGAGTGAGTGAGTGGGTGAGTGGGTGAGGTAGGGAGTGAGTGAGTGAGTGGGTGAGTGGGTGAGTGGGTGAGTGAGTGAGGTAGGGAGTGAGTGGGTGAGTGCGTGGGTGAGTGAGTGAGGTAGGGAGTGAGTGAATGAGTGAGTGAGGTAGGGAGTGAGTGAATGAGTGAGTGAGTGAGGTAGGGAGTGAGTGAGTGGGTGAGTGAGGTAGGGAGTCAGTGAGTGAGTGGGTGCGTGGGTGAGTGAGTGAGTGGGTGAGTGAGTGGGTGGGTGAGTGAGTGGGTGAGTGAGTGGGTGAGTGAGTGGGTGGGTGAGTGAGTGGGTGAGTGAGTGGGTGAGTGGGTGAGTGAGTGAGTGGGTGAGTGAGTGAATGGGTGAGTGAGTGGGTGAGTGAGTGGGTGAGTGAGTGGGTGAGTGAGTGGGTGGGTGAGTGAGTGGGTGAGTGAGTGAGTGGATGAGTGAGTGAGGTGGAGCTCACGTGGGAGGGGGTGACGTGGACGAGTGGCTGCTCGTCCTCTGCCATGGCCCGCGTCACGAAGTCAAAGCCTCCGAAGCTGCTCGACCTCTGCACTCGGCGGGCGTGGCACAGAGGGCAGCAGGTCAGCTGGTGGTGGTGCTGTCTGGTGGTGCTGGTGCTGGTGGTGCTGTCTGGTGGTGGTGCTGGTGCTGTCTGGTGGTGGTGGTGGTGTCTGGTGGTGGTGCTGGTTTTGGTGGTGGTGCTGGTGGTGTTGTTGGTGGTGTTGTTGGTGTTGGTGGTGGTGTTGGTGCTTGTGTTGGTGGTGTTGGTGGTGGCGCTGGTGGTGTTGGTGGTGGTGGTGTTGGTGGTGCTGGTGGTTCTGTCTGGTGGTGGTACTGGTGTTGGTGGTGTTGGTGGTGGTTCTGTCTGGTGGTGGTGCTGGCATTGGTGGTGTTGGTTCTGTCTGGTGGTGGTGCTGGTGCTGGTGTTGGTGCTGGTGGTGGTGCTGGTGTTGGTGCTGGTGTTGGTGGTGGTTCTGTCTGGTGGTGCTGGTGGTGGTGTTGGTGGTGTTGGTGGTGTTGGTGGTGTCTGGTGGTGGTGGTGCTGGGTCTGGTGGTGGTGCTGGTGCTGTCTGGTGGTGGTGGTGGTGGTGTTGGTAGTGTTGGCAGTGGTTCTGGTGCTGGTGGTGGTGCTGGTGGTGTTGGTTCTGTCTAGTGGTGGATCTGGTGGTGGTGCTGGTGGTGGTGCTGGTGCTGGTGGTTCTGGTGCTGGTGATGGTGCTGGTGGTGTTGTTGGTGGTGTTGTTGGTGTTGGTTCTGTCTGGTGCTGGTGGTGGTGCTGGTGGTGGTGCTGGTGACAGAGAGGTGAACCGGGTCTCCTGCTCCAGTGGTGGCGTCTGGCATCATCGTTACCGAGTGCGACCGCATCACTGCGTGCCGCGATTGGTTCCCTTCGGTCTTCTCTCCCGCTCCTCCTCCTCCCTCTCCTACACCTCCTCCTCCACCTCCTCCCTCTCCACCTCCTCCTCCACCTCCTCCACCACCTCCTCCACCACCTCCTCCCCCTGCCGAGTCGGCGGTGCGAGTGGCGCAGGGCCGGCTCGGCTTGACGAGGCCATAGCGTCCAGCCAGGCTGTGCGTCCGTCCGCGAGGGCTCCCCAGCTCCTGCCCGGCCTTAGCGGCGGCGGCGGCGGCAGCGGCGGCCACCGCTGCTGGAAGGGGGTCACAGAGGTCGCGGAGGTCACGGAGGTCGCAGAGGTCGCAGAGGTCGCAGAGGTCGCAGAGGACACGAGAGGAGGCGTCCGCTACCGACGCTCGACCCCGGCGAAGAGAGCGGCCCGGGTTGCGTTCTTGACCCTGGCCCTGTTATGCAGAGGTGGGAGGCTAGGGGGAGGAGGCCCTCCATCCAGCAGTGGATAGGCCACGGCTGAAGATGGTGGTGGTGGTGGCGGTGGCTAGAGGAGGCATTCATGCAGCAGTGGATAGAGCACAGCTGATGATGACGATGATCATGGAGGCTAGGGGGAGAAGGCCTCCATCACCGCCTAGCAGTGGATAGACCACGGCTGATGATGACGATGATTATGGAGGCTAGCGGAAGGCCTCCATCACCGCCTAGCAGTGGATAGACCACGGCTGATGATGACGATGATCATGGAGGCTAGGGGGAGAAGGCCTCCATCACCGCCTAGCAGTGGATAGACCACGGCTGATGATGACGATGATCATGGAGGCTAGGGGGAGGAGACCTCCATCACCGCCTAGCAGTGGATAGACCACGGCTGATGATGACGATGATCATGGAGGCTAGGGGGAGAAGGCCTCCATCACCGCCTAGCAGTGGATAGACCACGGCTGATGATGACGATGATCATGGAGGCTAGCGGAAGGCCTCCATCACCGCCTAGCAGTGGATCGAGCACGGCTGATGACGATGATTATGGAGGCTAGCGGAAGGCCTCCATCACCGCCTAGCAGTGGATAGACCACGGCTGATGATGACGATGATCATGGAGGCTAGGGGGACAAGGCCTCCATCACCGCCTAGCAGTGGATAGAGCACGGCTGATGATGACGATGATCATGGAGGCTAGGGGGAGAAGGCCTCCATCACCGCCTAGCAGTGGATAGACCACGGCTGATGATGACGATGATCATGGAGGCTAGAGGGAGAAGGCCTTCATCACCGCCTAGCAGTGGATAGACCACGGCTGATGATGACGATGATCATGGAGGCTAGCGGAAGGCCTCCATCACCGCCTAGCAGTGGATAGACCACGGCTGATGATGACGATGATCATGGAGGCTAGGAGGAGGCCTTCATCACCGCCTAGCAGTAGATCGAGCACGGCTGATGATGACGATGATCATGGAGGCTAGGGGGAGAAGGCCTCCATCACCGCCTAGCAGTGGATAGACCACGGCTGATGATGACGATGATCATGGAGGCTAGGGGGAGAAGGCCTCCATCACCGCCTAGCAGAGGATAGACCACGGCTGATGATGACGATGATCATGGAGGCTAGCGGAAGGCCTCCATCACCGCCTAGCAGTGGATCGAGCACGGCTGATGATGACGATGATCATGGAGGCTAGGGGGAGAAGGCCTCCATCACCGCCTAGCAGTGGATAGACCACGGCTGATGATGACGATGATCATGGAGGCTAGGGGGAGAAGGCCTCCATCACCGCCTAGCAGTGGATCGAGCACGGCTGATGATGACGATGATCATGGAGGCTAGGGGGAGAAGGCCTCCATCACCGCCTAGCAGTGGATAGACCACGGCTGATGATGACGATGATCATGGAGGCTAGGGGGACAAGGCCTCCATCACCGCCTAGCAGTGGATAGAGCACGGCTGATGATGACGATGATCATGGAGGCTAGGGGGAGAAGGCCTCCATCACCGCCTAGCAGTGGATAGAGCACGGCTGATGATGACGATGATCATGGAGGCTAGGGGGAGAAGGCCTCCATCACCGCCTAGCAGTGGATAGACCACGGCTGATGATGACGATGATCATGGAGGCTAGGGGGACAAGGCCTCCATCACCGCCTAGCAGTGGATAGAGCACGGCTGATGATGACGATGATCATGGAGGCTAGGGGGAGAAGGCCTCCATCACCGCCTAGCAGTGGATAGACCACGGCTGATGATGACGATGATCATGGAGGCTAGGGGGAGAAGGCCTCCATCACCGCCTAGCAGTGGATAGACCACGGCTGATGATGACGATGATCATGGAGGCTAGGGGGAGGCCTTCATCACCGCCTAGCAGTGGATAGACCACGGCTGATGATGACGATGATCATGGAGGCTAGGGGGAGAAGGCCTCCATCACCGCCTAGCAGTGGATCGAGCACGGCTGATGATGACGATGATCATGGAGGCTAGGGGGACAAGGCCTCCATCACCGCCTAGCAGTGGATAGACCACGGCTGATGATGACGATGCTCATGGAGGCTAGGGGGACAAGGCCTCCATCACCGCCTAGCAGTGGATAGACCACGGCTGATGATGACGATGATCATGGAGGCTAGGGGGACAAGGCCTCCATCACCGCCTAGCAGTGGATAGACCACGGCTGATGATGACGATGATCATGGAGGCTAGGGGGACAAGGCCTCCATCACCGCCTAGCAGTGGATAGACCACGGCTGATGATGACGATGATCATGGAGGCTAGCGGAAGGCCTCCATCACCGCCTAGCAGTGGATAGACCACGGCTGATGATGACGATGATCATGGAGGCTAGGGGGACAAGGCCTCCATCACCGCCTAGCAGTGGATAGACCACGGCAGCGGAGACTCACGGGCGAGCTGCGAGCGCCAGGAGGCGGCGGAGCGGTCGAACTCCAGCGTGGCCGCGCTGTGCACGTCGCCGCCGCTCGCCGTCGGCATGGCGACGGAGGAGGAGGTGGCGGAGGAGGAGGTGGCGGAGGAGGAGGTGGTGGCGGAGGAGGTGGCGGAGGAGGAGGTGGAGGAGGAGGGGTCTCCGCCACGCGGCGTCCGCACGACGCGTGCGTACACGTCTACACGCTCGCACGCACACGCCGGGGTCGGGGGCAGCCGTTGGGTTACCGGTGGCGTCGATGGTGCCGCTGCTGATACTGCTGCTGCTGCTGATACTACTGCTGATACTGATACTGCTGATACTACTGCTGCTGATACTACTGCTGATACTACTGCTGCTGATACTACTGCTGCTGATACTACTGCTGCTGATACTACTGCTGCTGATACTACTGCTGCTGCTGATACTACTGCTGATACTGATACTACTGCTGCTGCTGATACTACTGCTGATACTGATACTGCTGCTGCCGCTGCTGATACTACTGCTGCTGATACTACTACTGCTGATACTACTGCTGCTGCTGATACTACTGCTGCTGCTGATACTACTGCTGCTGCTGCTGATACTACTACTGCTGCTGATACTACTGCTGCTGATACTACTGCTGCTGATACTACTACTGCTGATACTACTGCTGCTGCTGATACTACTGCTGATACTGATACTGCTGCTGCCGCTGCTGATACTACTGCTGCTGATACTACTACTGCTGATACTACTGCTGCTGCTGATACTACTGCTGCTGCTGATACTACTACTGCTGCTGATACTACTACTGCTGATACTACTGCTGCTGATACTACTGCTGCTGATACTACTGCTGATACTACTGCTGCTGCTGATACTACTGCTGCTGATACTACTACTGCTGATACTACTGCTGCTGCTGATACTACTGCTGCTGCTGCTACTACTGCTGCTGATACTACTACTGCTGCTGATACTACTACCGATACTACTGCTGCTGATACTACTGCTGCTGCTGCTACTACTGCTGATACTACTGCTGCTGCTGCTGCTGATACTACTGCTGCTGCTGCTACTACTACTGCTGATACTACTACCGATACTACTGCTGCTGCTGACACTACTGCTGCTGCTGCCACTACTGCTGATACTACTGCTGCTGCTGCTGATACTGCTGCTGCTGATACTGCTGATACTACTGCTGCTGCTGATACTACTGCTGCTGCTGATACTACTGCCGATACTACTGCTGCTGCTGCTACTACTGCTGCTGCTGATACTGCTGCTGCTGCTGATACTACTGCTGCTGCTGATACTACTGCTGCTGCTGATACTACTGCTGCTGCTGCTACTGCTGCTGCTACTGCTGCTGCTACTGCTGCTACTGCTGATGCTCCTGTTGATGCCACGACTACTACTACTACTGCTGCTGCTACTGCTGCTGCTGCTACTACTACTGCTGCTGCTACTGCTACTACTGTTGCTACTACTACTGCTGCTACTACTACTACTGCTGCTACTACTGATGCTACTGGTGACGCTGCTGCTGATGATCATGATGATGCTACTGTTGCTATTCTTCTTGTTGCTGGTAGTGGTGCCGGTGGTGGCGTTAGTGGTGGCGATGGTGGTGGTGCTAGTGGCGTTCGTGGTGGCGTTAGTGGCGATGGTCGTGGTGTTAGTGGTGGTGGTGACGTTAGTGGTGGCGATGGTGGTGGTGGTGTTAGCAATAGCGGTGGCGATGGTGGTGGCGATGGCGGCGATGGTGGTGGCGGTGGCGATGGTGGTGGTGGTGTTAGCAATAGCGGTGGCGATGGTGGTGGCGATGGTGGTGGTGGCGATGGCGGCGATGGTGGTGGCGATTGCGATGGTGGTGGCAGTGGCGATGGTGTCGATGGCGATGGTGGCGGTGGCGGTGATGGCGGTGGTGGTGGGGATGGTGGTGGTGGCGATGGTGGTGGTGGTGGTGGTGATGGCAGTGGTGGTGGTGGCGATGGTGGTGGCGATGCCAATGGTGGTGGTGATGGCGATGGTGGTGGCGATGCCAATGGTGGTGGTGATGGCGATGGTGGTGATGGTGGCGGTGGTGGCGATGGTGGTGGCGGCAATGGTGGTGGTGATAGTGGTGGCGGTGGTGGTGATGGCGATGGTGGTGGTGATGGCAGTGGCGATGGTGGCGGTGGCGATGGTGGTGGTGGTGATGATGGTGGTGGTGATGATGATGGTGATGATGGTGGTGATGGTGGTGGTGATGGCGGTGGTGGTGGTGATGGTGATAGTGGTGATGGTGGCGGTGGCGATGGTGGTGGTGGTGATGATGGTGGTGGTGATAGTGGTGATGGTGGTGGTGATGGCGGTGGTGATGGTGATGATGATGGTGATGGTAGTGGTGGTAGTGGTGTTGTTGTTGTTGTTGATGTTGTTGTTGTGGTTGATGTTGTTATTTGTTGTTGTTGTTGTGGTTGTTGATGTTGTGGTTGTTGTGGTTGTTGTTGTTGTTGTGGCTCACCGCGGCAGGTCGCCCTACGCTTATCGTCCACCTTGATCAGCTCCCGGGGTGCACGGCGCCGTGCCTGGGGACTGCCCCCCGCCTGCTGCAACAGTCACAGGCAACAGTCACAGGCAACACGGTCACAGGCAACAGTCACAGGCAACAGTCACAGGCAACAGTCACAGGCAACACGGTCACAGGCAACAGTCACAGGCAACAGTCACAGGCAACAGTCACAGGCAACAGTCACAGGCAACAGTCACAGGCAACAGTCACAGGCAACACGGTCACAGGCAACACAGTCACAGCAACAGTCACAGGCAACAGTCACAGCAACAGTCACAGCAACAGTCACAGGCAACAGTCACAGGCAACAGTCACAGCAACACGGTCACAGCAACAGTCACAGGCAACACAGTCACAGCAACAGTCACAGGCAACACGGTCACAGCAACACGGTCACAGGCAACAGTCACAGGCAACAGTCACAGCAACAGTCACAGGCAACACGGTCACAGCAACAGTCACAGGCAACACGGTCACAGCAACACAGTCACAGGCAACAGTCACAGGCAACAGTCACAGCAACACGGTCACAGCAACACGGTCACAGCAACACGGTCACAGGCAACACAGTCACAGCAACAGTCACAGGCAACAGTCACAGCAACACAGTCACAGCAACACGGTCACAGCAACACAGTCACAGGCAACAGTCACAGCAACAGTCACAGGCAACAGTCACAGCAACACAGTCACAGCAACACGGTCACAGCAACACGGTCACAGCAACACAGTCACAGGCAACACAGTCACAGGCAACAGTCACATCAACAGTCACAGCAACAGTCACAGGCAACAGTCACAGCAACACAGTCACAGCAACACGGTCACAGCAACACGGTCACAGCAACACAGTCACAGGCAAGACGGTCACAGCAACAGTTACAGCAACACAGTCACAGCAACACAGTCACAGGCAACAGTCACACCAACACGGTCACAGGCAACACGGTCACAGGCAACAGTCACAGGCAACAGTCACAGACAACAGTCACAGGCAACAGTCACAGGCAACATGGTCAGAGGCAACAGTCACAGACAACAGTCACAGGCAACAGTCACAGCAACAGTCACAGGCAACACAGTCACAGCAACACAGTCACAGCAACACAGTCACAGCAACAGTCACAGCAACACGGTCACAGCAACAGTCACAGGCAACACGGTCACAGGCAACACGGTCACAGGCAACACGGTGGAGGTGATGATAGTGACGTTGGTGATGATGGTGATGATGATGGTAATAATGGTAGTGATGGTGATGATGTTGATAACGGGAGTGATGGTGGTGGTGATGATGATGGTGATGATGTTGATAACGGTAGTGATGGTGGTGGTGATGATGTTGATAACGGGAGGGAAGGTGGTGGTGATGATGGTGGCGATGATGTTGATAACGGGAGTGATGGTGATGGTGGTGATGATGTTGATAACGGGAGTGATGGTGATGAAGGTGGCGATGATGTTGATAACAGGAGTGATGGTGATGGTGGTGATGATGTTCATAACGGGAGTGATGGTGATGGTGGTGATGATGTTGATAACGGTAGCGATGGTGGTGATGATGTTGATAACGGGAGTGATGGTAGTGGCGTTTATGTTGATAACGGGAGTGATGGTGGTGATGATGTTGATAACGGCAGTGATGGTGATGGTGGTGATGATGTTGATAACGGGAGTGATGGTGATCGTTGTGATGATGTTGATAACGGGAGTGATGGTGGTGATGTTGATAACGGGAGGGATGGTGGTGGTGATGATGGTGGCGATGATGTTGATAACGGGAGTGATGGTGATGGTGGTGATGATGTTGATAACGGGAGTGATGGTGATGAAGGTGGCGATGATGTTGATAACAGGAGTGATGGTGATGGTGGTGATGATGTTGATAACAGGAGTGATGATGGTGGTGATGATGTTCATAACGGGAGTGATGGTGATGGTGGTGATGTTGATAATGGGAGTGATGGTGGTGATGATGTTGATAACGGCAGTGATGGTGATGATGATGTTGATAACGGCAGTGATGGTGATGGTGGTGATGATGTTGATAACGGGAGTGATGGTGATCGTGGTGATGATGTTGATAACAGGAGTGATGGTGATGGTGGTGATGTTGATAACAGTAGTGATGATGGTGGTGATGATGTTGATAACGGGAGTGATGGTGGTGGTGATGATGTTGATAACGGGAGTGATGGTGGTGGTGATGATGTTAATAACGGGAGTGATGGTGGTGATGTTGATAACAGTAGTGATGGTGGTGGTGATGATGTTGATAACGGGAGTGATGGTGGTGGTGATGATGTTGATAACGGGAGTGATGGTGGTGATGTTGATAACAGTAGTGATGGTGGTGGTGATGATGTTGATAACAGGAGTGATGGTGGTGATGTTGATAACAGTAGTGATGGTGGTGGTGATGATGTTGATAACGGGAGTAATGATGTTGGTGATGATGTTGATAACGGTAGTGATGGTGGCGATTATGTTGATAACGGGAGTGACGGTAGTGATGGTGGCGATGATGTTGATAACGGGAGTGATGGTGATGATGATGTTGATAACGGGAGTGATGGTGGTGGTGATGATGTTGATAACGGGAGTAATGGTGATGGTGGTGATGATGTTGATAACGGGAGTGATGGTGATGGTGGTGATGATGTTGATAACGGGAGTGATGGTGATGGTGGTGATGATGTTGATAACGGGAGTGATGGTGATGGTGGTGATGATGTTGATAACGGGAGTGATGGTGGTGGTGATGATGTTGATAACGGGAGTGATGGTAGTGACGGTAGTGACAGTGGCGATGGTGGTGATGATGTTGATAACAGGAGTGATGGTGGTGATGGTGGTGATGTTGATAATGGGAGTGATGGTGGTGGTGATGATGTTGATAACGGGAGTGATGGTGATGATGATGTTGATAACAGGAGTGATGGTGATGATGATGTTGATAACAGGAGTGATGATGGTGGTGATGATGTTGATAACAGGAGTGATAGTGATCGTGGTGATGATGTTGATAACAGTAGTGATGGTGGTGGTGATGATGTTGATAACGGGAGTGATGGTAGTGATGGTAGCGATGATGTTGATAACGGGAGTTTACGGTAGTGACGGTGGCGATGATGTTGATAACGGGAGTGATGGTGATGGTGGTGATGATGTTGATAACGGTAGTGATGGTTGTGGTGATGATGTTGATAACGGTAGTGATGGTGGTGGTGGTGATGTTGATAATGGTAGGGATGGTGGTGGTGATGATGTTGATAACGGTAGTGATGGTGGTGGTGATGATGTTTATAACGGGAGTGATGATGGTGGTGATGATGATGTTGATAACAGGAGTGATGGTGGTGGTGATGTGGATAACGGTAGTGATGGTAGTGATGGTGGTGGTGATGTTGATAACAGGAGTGATGGTGATGGTGGTGATCATGTTGATAACGGGAGTGATGGTAGTGATGGTGGTGGTGATGTTGATAACGCTAGTGATGGTGGTGATGTTGATAACGGGAGTGGCGATGGTGGTGATGATGTTGATAATGGGAGTGACGGTAGTGACGGTAGTGATGATGTTGATAACGGTAGTGACGGTGGTGACGATAACGGGAGTGACGGTGGTGACGGTGGTGACGGTGATGTTGATAACGGTGGTGACGGTAGTGACGGTAGTGACGGTGGTGACGGTGGTGACGATAACGGTAGTGACGGTGGTGACGGTGGTGACGGTGGTGACGGTGGTGACGGTGATGTTGATAACGGTAGTGACGGTGGTGACGGTGGTGACGGTGGTGACGGTGATGTTGATAACGGTAGCGACGGTAGGGACGGTGGTGACGGTGATGTTGATAACGGTAGTGACGGTGGTGACGGTGGTGACGGTGGTGACGGTGGTGACGGTGGTGACGGTGGTGACGGTGTTGATAACGGTGGTGACGGTGGTGACGGTGGTGACGGTGATGTTGATAACGGTGGTGACGGTGGTGACGGTGGTGACGGTGGTGACGGTGGTGTTGATAACGGTGGTGACGGTGGTGATGGTAGTGACGGTGGTGACGGTGGTGACGGTGGTGACGGTGGTGACCGTGGTGACGGTGGTGTTGATAACGGTGGTGACGGTGGTGATGGTAGTGACGGTGGTGACGGTGGTGACGGTGCTGACGGTGGTGTTGATAACGGTGGTGACGGTGGTGACGGTAGTGACGGTGGTGACGGTGGTGACGGTGGTGACGGTGGCGACGGTGATGTTGATAACGGTGGTGACAGTAGTGACGGTGGTGACGGTGGTGACGGTGGTGACGGTGGTGACGGTGGTGACGGTGGTGACGGTGATGTTGATAACGGTGGTGACAGTAGTGACGGTGGTGACGGTGGTGACGGTGGTGACGGTGGCGACGGTGGTGACGGTGGTGACGGTGGTGACGGTGGTGATGGTAGTGACGATGTTGATAACGGTGGTGACGGTGGTGACGGTGGTGACGGTGGTGACGGTGATGTTGATAACGGTAGTGATGGTGGTGACGGTGGTGACGGTGGTGACGGTGATGTTGATAACGGTGGTGACAGTAGTGACGGTGGTGACGGTGGTGACGGTGGTGACGGTGATGTTGATAACGGTGGTGACAGTAGTGACGGTAGTGACGGTGGTGACGGTAGTGACGGTGGTGACGGTGGTGATGGTGGTGATGGTGGTGATGGGCCTCACGTGGTCAGTGGAGAAGCAGCTCTCCCAGGAGCGGCTCCGTGAGGTGAAACTCGGCGCTCTCTCCCTCTGACCCCTGCCCTGCTCCAGCTGGGGGGCACGGTGGTGGTGGGGGGGGGCACGGTGGTGGTGGTGGGGGGGGGGGGGCAGTGGGGGGCGAGAGGTGGGGGCACCCGAATAAATCACGCAGAACCGACCAATGATACGTGGCCAACCGGCACTGGTGGGTACCTGTGGGTCCCTGTGGGTACCTGTGGGTCCCTGTGGGTACCTGTGGGTCCCTGTGGGCGCTAGCGGGGTTCAGGAGGTGTCACATTGGGTACCTGTGGGTCCCTGTGGGCGCTAGCGGGGTTCAGGAGGTGTCACATTGGGTACCTGTGGGTACCTGTGGGTCCCTGTGGGCGCTAGCGGGGTTCAGGTGTCACGTTGGGTACCTGTGGGCGCTAGCGGGGTTCAGGTGGTGTCACATTGGGTACCTGTGGGTCCCTGTGGGCGCTAGCGGGGTTCAGGAGGTATCACATTGGGTACCTGTGGGTCCCTGTGGGCGCTAGCGGGGTTCAGGAGGTGTCACATTGGGTACCTGTGGGTACCTGTGGGTCCCTGTGGGCGCTAGCGGGGTTCAGGAGGTGTCACATTGGGTACCTGTTGGTCCCTGTGGGCGCTAGCGGGGTTCAGGAGGTGTCACATTGGGTACCTGTGGGTACCTGTGGGTGCTAGCGGGGTTCAGGAGGTCTCACATTGGGTACCTGTGGGTACCTGTGGGTCCCTGTGGGCGCTAGCGGGGATCAGGAGGTGTCACATTGGGTACCTGTGGGTACCTGTGGGTGCTAGCGGGGTTCAGGAGGTCTCACATTGGGTACCTGTGGGTACCTGTGGGTCCCTGTGGGTCCCTGTGGGCGCTAGCGGGGTTCAGGAGGTGTCACATTGGGTACCTGTGGGTCCCTGTGGGTACCTGTGGGTCCCTGTGGGTGCTAGTGGGGTTCAGGAGGTGTCACGTTGGGTACCTGTGGGTACCTGTGGGTCCCTGTGGGTACCTGTGGGCGCTAGCGGGGTTCAGGAGGTGTCACATTGGGTCCCTGTGGGTCCCTGTGGGTGCTAGCGGGGTTCAGGAGGTGTCACATTGGGTACCTGTGGGTCCCTGTGGGTGCTAGCGGGGTTCAGGAGGTGTCACATTGGGTACCTGTGGGTCCCTGTGGGTGCTAGCGGGGTTCAGGAGGTGTCACGTTGGGTCCCTGTGGGCGCTAGCGGGGTTCAGGAGGTGTCACATTGGGTACCTGTGGGTACCTGTGGGCGCTAGCGGGGTTCAGGTGGTGTCACATTGGGTACCTGTGGGTCCCTGTGGGTACCTGTGGGTACCTGTGGGCGCTAGCGGGGTTCAGGAGGTGCCACGTTGGGTACCTGTGCCAGCGCCTGGCTGATGGTGAGCTTGCCCTCCCCCACGGCCCGCGACAGCTGCTCCCGCTCCGATCCGCTAACCCCCACGTCCGCCGCGAAGCCGACAAAACCTTCACAGGCAAAGGGTCACCACCACCCCAACCCCCAGGTAGCATTAACAAACCACTAAAAACTCTTCAAAACGATTGTTTATCTGACCAGGCAAAGGGTCACCACCACCCCCAGCCCCCAGGCAGCATTAAAAACCACTATAAACTCTTCAAAACGATTGTTTATCTGACCGGGCAAAGGGTCACCACCACCACCAGCCCCCAGGCAGCATTAAAAACCACTAAAAACTCTTCAAAACGATTGTTTATCTGACCAGGCAAAGGGTCACCACCACCCCCAGCCCCCAGGTAGCATTAACAAACCACTAAAAACTCTTCAAAACGATTGTTTATCTGACCAGGCAAAGGGTCACCACCACCCCCAGCCCCCAGGTATCATTAAAAACCACTATAAACTCTTCAAAACGATTGTTTATCTGACCAGGCAAAGGGTCACCACCACCCCCAGCCCCCAGGCAGCATTAAAAACCACTATAAACTCTTCAAAACGATTGTTTATCTGACCAGGCAAAGGGTCACCACCACCACCAGCCCCCAGGTAGCATTAAAAACCACTATAAACTCTTCAAAACGATTGTTTATCTGACCAGGCAAAGGGTCACCACCCCCAACCCCCAGGTAGCATTAAAAACCACTAAAACCTCTTCAAAACGATTGTTTATCTGACTAGGCAAAGGGTCACCATCACCCCCAGCCCCCAGGTAGCATAAACAAACCACTATAAACTCTTCAAAACGATTGTTTATCTGACCAGGCAAAGGGTCACCACCCCCCAGCCCCCAGGTAGCATTAAAAAAACACTATAAACTCTTCAAAACGATTGTTTATCTGACCAGGCAAAGGGTCACCATCACCCCCAGCCCCCAGGTAGCATTAAAACCCACTATAAACTCTTCAAAACGATTGTTTATCTGACCAGGCAAAGGGTCACCACCCCAGCCCCCAGGTAGCATTAAAAACCACTATAAACTCTTCAAAACGATTGTTTATCTGACCAGGCAAAGGGTCACCTCCACCCCCAGCCCCCAGGTAGCATTAACAAACAACTATAAACTCTTCAAAACGATTGTTTATCTGACCAGGCAAAGGGTCACCACCACCCCAGCCCCCAGGTAGCATTAACAAACCACTATAAACTCTTCAAAACGATTGTTTATCTGACCAGAAAAAGGGTCACCCCCACCCCCAGCCCCCATGTAGCATTAAAAACCACTATAAACTCTTCAAAACGATTGTTTATCTGACCAGGCAAAGGGTCACCCCCAACCCCAGCCCCCAGGTAGCATTAAAAACCACTATAAACTCTTCAAAACGATTGTTTATCTGACCAGGCAAAGGGTCACCACCACCCCCAGCCCCCAGGTAGCATTAAAAACCACTATAAACTCTTCAAAACGATTGTTTATCTGACCAGGCAAGGGACTCCCCACTGAGCTGTCTCATTTGCAGAAGCCAACGGGCTACCACAAATGAGAGCGGCTCAATCAAGTGGTGGCTTGTCGTCGTCATCATCATCATCATCGTCGTCATCATCATCGTCGTCATCGTCGTCATTGTCGTCATCATCATCGTCGTCATGATCATCATCGTCGTCGTCGTCATCATCGTCGTCATGATCATCATCATCATCATCGTCGTCGTCATCATCGTCATCGTCATGATCATCATCGTCATCGTCGTCGTCATCGTCGTCATCGTCGTCATCATCATCATCGTCATCGTCGTCATGATCATCATCATCATCGTCGTCGTCATCGTCGTCATCATCGTCGTCGCCGCGTGGAAATTTGTAGCAGGAGCCAAACCAGTCTGGGGACGCGCGACCACGGGCAGAGGAGAGGAGACGCGCAAATATAACGGGCAGAGGCGTCGGGCTCGCTGATCGAACCCACGTGACCCTCTCCCACCCCTCTCCTGCATGGCGGGCGAGGCAGCCAACATCTCGCTGGCACGTGACTTCCGTTGGGATCGCGGCTGCCTCTTGTGGGCAAAAGGCGGCGGTGGTGTGTACGTGTGTGTGGCTGTGGGTATCGCCAGCTAAAAAAAAAACACGGCCGCCTTTGTCTCCCCCAGTGCGTTGATGCTCTTCAACGCTTTCGATGCAATGAAGAATTAAAGTTTTGATTTGAAGCTTTCGTGACTGCAGAGATTCGTACTCTTAGCTCTTTCGGTAAAGTCACCACGTTGAAGGGGAAACAATAAAATAATATAAAATATATATAAAACAATAAAAAAATTCTCACGACGTTTCGACCGTAACACAAACGGTCGTCATCAGGTGTGTCGGTTAGAATTAATTAATTAATTATTAAACGGTGTGTTTATTTATTTATAAAAACGTCAGCGCCACGCGCAGCGATTTGGCAGTTTATTTAGAAGGACTAGTCAGTCCATCTATTTTTTTTATTTAAAGCTTTCCTGACTGCAGTAATTCATATTCTTAGCTCTTTCGGTAAAGTCACCACGTTGAAGGGAAACAATCAAATAATAAAATATATATCAAACAATAAACAAAAATTCTCACGACGTTTCGACCGGTCGACCACAACACAAACGGTCGACCATTTGTGTTGTGGTCGAAACGTCGTGAGAATTTTTATTGTTTTATATATATATTTATACTGGTAGGAAGGAAGTTGTGAACTGAGTGTACCAGCCTGCAATAGATTAATGTGTCCGTCCGTCCGTCCCCTTTCAATACTTTAACGAAGTGAAATCTCGTGTGACTGACATCCTTTATGTAACCACGTGAGTGACGTCATTGAGAGTCACTCTCTTGTCACTGACATCCTTTATTTAACCACGTGAGTGACGTCATTGAGAGTCACTCTCTTGTCACTGACATCCTTTATACTGGTAGGAAGGAAGTTGTAAACTGGGTGTACCAGCCTGCAATAGATTAATGTGTCCGTCCGTCCGTCCCCTTTCAATACTTTAACGAAGTGAAATCTCGTGCTGTTGGGGTGTAAAATCAGCAAAGGACAGCGCAGAGACTCGTCCCACCAGCCCACCCCCTGCAGGGACCTGTTATTATTTTATTGTTTCCCTTCAACGTGGTGACTTCACTGAAAGAGCTAAGAATATAAATAAAGAATTAAAGCTTTCGTTAATGCATACTCACTCCCGTCTGTCGCTGTTGTCGTCCTCAAATCTTTGCGACTCGATTTGAACCCACTTACCACAACGTGGTGCCGACTGCAAACTCGGCTACACTTTATGTCATGCCGCTGGGCAATAAAACTATATTCCATCAGAAAACGTATATACGTATTTATTTTTATTTTTGAAAACGTTAATTTTTTTGTTGTTGCTTGTTATATACGCGGGCTATGTTTCGTCCTGGGTCCAATTGTGCACGGTTAAAACTCGACGCTGGCTGCAATTGGCCCACGGTCGCCTTACGTCACGGCAAACTTCGGTGGGACCCACTTCCGTTGCTTAGTGCGGCACATTGCATTAAAGCGCGCGAGTTTCTATAAAAAACAACGAAAAAAGTGTTTTTTAAAAATGTCACTTATTTTTGGGACACTTTTACTAACTGCACCAGGAAATTCATTTGGGGGCCCAGTCACCCTAGGGGAGGAGGCCTAGGGGAGGGGCAAGTGCTGTTAGTAGCGAGTAGCAGCAGCTACCTATGAACACACAAAGACAAAGGTCCCCCGTGTAGCCTCTAACAGGCTGTAGGGGCAAGTGCTGTTAGTAGCGAGTAGCAGCAGCTGCCTATGAACACATAAAGACAAAGGTCCCCCGTGTAGCCTCTAACAGACCGTGGGATAAGTGCTATTAGTAGCGAGTAGCAGCTGCTACCTATGAACACACAAAGACAAAGATCCCCCGTGTAGCCTCTTCGCAGACCGTAGGGGCAAGTGCTGTTAGTAGCGAGTAGCAGCAGCTGCCTATGAACACACAAAGACAAAGATCCCCCGTGTAGCCTCTAGCAGACCGTAGGGGCAAGTGCTGTTAGTAGCGAGTAGCAGCAGCTACCTATGAACACACAAAGACAAAGGTCCCCCGTGTAGCCTCTAGCCGACCGTAGGGGCAAGTGCTGTTAGTAGCGAGTAGCAGCAGCAGACTATGAACACACAAAGACAAAGGTCCCCCGTGTAGCCTCTAGCAGACCGTAGGGGCAAGTGCTGTTAGTAGCGAGTAGCAGCAGCTACCTATGAACACACAAAGACAAAGGTCCCCCGTGTAGCCTCTAGTGTCCAGCAGCACCACGCCCGGCCGCCTTTGTCTCTCCCAGTGCTAGCGATGTTTACTACACACACCGCACTGCGTACTCATGGATATACACACACACACATGTGAACGTCACGTGTGTCACACACACACGTCACCCACACGCGTGTTACAACACCTGTGGCTGGAGTCTCCTCGGCCTCCCGGCTCTTCTGGAAGTTCGTCCAGAAAGATTTCTTCTTCTTCCCTGTGGCACAGCAACAGTGTGGGTGGGCTGATCCCCATCTGTTCCATCTCGCTCCCTTCTACACCCGTGGGTGGACTAATCCCCATCTGTTCCATCTCGCTCCCTTCTACACCCGTGGGTGGACTAATCTCCATCTGTTCCATCTCACTCCCTTCTACACCCGTGGGTGGACTAATCTCCATCTGTTCCATCTCGCTCCCTTCTACACCCGTGGGTGGACTAATCTCCATCTGTTCCATCTCACTCCCTTCTACACCCGTGGGTGGACTAATCTCCATCTGTTCCATCTCCCTCCCTTCTACACCCGTGGGTGGACTAATCTCCATCTGTTCCATCTCGCTCCCTTCTACACCCGTGGGTGGACTAATCTCCATCTGTTCCATCTCACTCCCTTCTACACCCGTGGGTGGACTAATCTTCATCTGTTCCATCTCACTCCCTTCTATCCTGTGGGTGGACAAATCCCCATCTGTTCCATCTCGCTCCCTTCTACACCGTGTGTGGACTAATCTCCATCTGTTCCATCTCACTCCCTTCTACCCGTGTGGACTAATCTCCATCTGTTCCATCTCACTCCCTTCTACCCCGTGGGTGGACTAATCTCCATCTCTTCCATCTCACTCCCTTCTACCCAGTGGGTGGACTAATCTCCATCTGTTCCATCTCACTCCCTTCTACCACGTGGGTGGGCTGATCTCCATCTGTTCCATCTCACTCCCTTCTACACCTGTGGGTGGACTGATCTCCATCTGTTCCATCTCACTCCCTTCTACCCGTGTGTGGACTAATCTCCATCTGTTCCATCTCACTCCCTTCTACCCCGTGGGTGGACTAATCTCCATCTGTTCCATCTCACTCCACCTTCTACACCGTGTGTGGACTAATCTCCATCTGTTCCATCTCACTCCACCTTCTACACCGTGTGTGGACTAATCTCCATCTGTTCCATCTCACTCCCTTCTACCCCATGGGTGGACTAATCTCCATCTGTTCCATCTCGCTCCCTTCTACACCGTGTGTGGACTAATCTCCATCTGTTCCATCTCGCTCCCTTCTACCCCATGGGTGGACTAATCTCCATCTGTTCCATCACTCTCACTTCTATACCCGTGGGTGGACTGATCTCCATCTGTTCCATCTCGCTCCCTTCTACCCCGTGGGTGGACTAATCTCCATCTGTTCCATCACTCTCACTTCTATACCCGTGGGTGGACTAATCTCCATCTGTTCCATCTCGCTCCCTTCTACCCCGTGGGTGGACTAATCGACATCTGTTCCATCTGTGGGTGGGTGTCGAGGAGGAGCCGTACCCCCCCTGGCTCTGGTCAGGAGAAGGCGGTGGTACAACAGCGTGTGGAGCAATGTTCCACACAAAATAGTAAGGTAACCAGAGAACCGTGCCAGGCAGGCGCTGTAACGCCGGCGGTAAAAATGGAGGTAACCAGAGAACCGTGCTAGGCTGGCGCTGTATCGCCGGTGGAAAAAGGGAGGTAACCAGAGAACCGAGCTAGGTTGGCGCTGTATCGCCGGTGGAAAAAGGGAGGTAACCAGAGAACCGTGCCAGGCAGGCGCTGTATCGGCGGTGGAAAAAGGGAGGTAGCTTTAGAATCGTGCCAGGCTGGTGCTGTATCGCCGGCGGGAAAAAGGGAGGTAGCTTTAGAACCGTGCCAGGCTGGTGCTGTATCGCCGGCGGGAAAAAGGGAGGTAGCTTTAGAACCGTGCTAGGCTGGCGCTGTATCGCCGGTGGAAAAAAGGGAGGTAGCTTTAGAACCATGCCAGGCTGGTGCTGTATCGCCGGCGGTAAAAAGGGAGGTAGCTAGAGAACCGTGCCAGGCTGGCGCTGTATCGCCGGTGGAAAAAGGGAGGTAGCTTTAGAACCGTGCTAGGCTGGCGCTGTATCGCCGGTGGAAAAAAGGGAGGTAGCTTTAGAACCGTGCTAGGCTGGCGCTGTATCGCCGGTGGTAAAAAGGGAGGTAGCTTTAGAACCATGCCAGGCTGGTGCTGTATCGCCGGCGGTAAAAAGGGAGGTAGCTAGAGAACCGTGCCAGGCTGGCGCTGTATCGCCGGTGGAAAAAGGGAGGTAGCTTTAGAACCGTGCTAGGCTGGCGCTGTATCGCCGGTGGAAAAAAGGGAGGTAGCTTTAGAACCGTGCTAGGCTGGCGCTGTATCGCCGGTGGAAAAAGGGAGGTAGCTAGAGAACCGTGCCAGGCTGGTGCTGTATCACCGGTGGAAAAAGGGAGGTAGCTTTAGAACCGTGCCAGGCAGGCGCTGTATCGGCGGTGGAAAAAGGGAGGTAGCTTTAGAACCGTGCCAGGCAGGCGCTGTATCGCCGGTGGTAAAAGGGAGGTAGCTCGAGAACCGTGCCAGGCAGGCGCTGTATCGCCGGTGGAAAAAGGGAGGTAGCTTTAGAACCGTGCCAGGCAGGCGCTGTATCGCCGGTGGTAAAAGGGAGGTAGCTTTAGAACCGTGCCAGGCTGGTGCTGTATCGCCGGTGGTAAAAAGGGAGGTAGCTTTAGAACCGTGCCAGGCAGGCGCTGTATCGGCGGTGGAAAAAGGGAGGTAGCTAGAGAACCGTGCTAGGCTGGCGCTGTATCGCCGGTGGAAAAAAGGGAGGTAGCTTTAGAACCGTGCCAGGATGGCGCTGTATCGCCGGTGGAAAAAAGGGAGGTAGCTTTAGAACCGTGCCAGGCAGGCGCTGTATCGCCGGCGAAGGTGCGATGGCGTGTCTTACCCTCATCCGATCTGGGCTTGTGAAAGGAACTCCTGCAAGGTAAAAAACCAAACACCCGGAGTAAGAATCGTGGCTGTGCGTGGATCCCAGGCAGACAGTGAGGGGGGTGGTGGAGGCCTCCCAGGCACCGCCCTGGTCGGCGCTCACGGCAGAGAGAGAGAGATCACCCGGGGCAATGAGGCGGGCGGATGTCGCAACGGCTGGAAAGATCGTCTTGGGGATGAGGCTTCTTGTTTTCATCATTTAGAAATGCGACCGATTTCACCGCCCCCATCTGCATTATCCGTGGTTACGATCCCGACCCCCGATACTTGTTGCAATATTTGGCGTTTGCGGTTTCTCTCTCCCTCTCTCTCTCTCTCTCTCCCTGTGGCCGCGTTCGGATTTGTCTCCGCGATTTTCCCACCTCCGCATTTAGAATCAACATCACGCGTCTGGCAGAGCCGGTGGTGGTGGTGGTGGTGGGGGGTGGGGGTGGGGTGGCACGTGCCCCCCCAATGATCCGATCGAAATCGCTAATTTCGATCGGATCATTGGGGTTTATTAGTAATAAATCGGCATTCTGCGACCCCCACTGCAACCGAGTAACATGTTATTATTACGTGCCAGGGACTCTATGAGATGATAGGACAACACAACGACAACACAAAAACAACACCGACAACACAACGACAACACAACACAAAAACAACACCGACAACACAACACAACACCGACAACACAACAACACAAAAACAACACCGACAACACAACACAAAAACACCGACAACACAACAACACAAAAACAACAACACAACAACACAAAAACAACACCGACAACACAACGACAACACAACACAACACCGACAACACAACAACAACACAACACAAAAACAACACCGACAACACAACACCGACAACACAAAAACACCGACAGCACAACACAACAATAACAACACAACAACAACACAACACAAAAACAACAACACAACAACGACACAACAACAACACAACACCGACAACACAAAAACACCGACAACACCACAACAACAACAACACAACACAACAACACAACACAACAACACAACACAACGACACCGTGCAGGGGGGGTGTCACGCACGTGCGCGGCAGATCCAAGTGCGGGGCTCTCGTGGGCGTGTCCGGCGTGGACAGCTTCCGATGCACGGCCACCCGCTCCGGAGACTGGCGGGCCGACTTGAGGCGCGACACGACCGCACGCACACACAGACACACAGTCACACACACACAGTCACACACACACAGATACACACACACACACAGTCACACACACACAGATACACACACACACACAGTCACACACACACAGACACACACAGTCACACACACACACAGACACACACAGACACACACAGTCACACACACACAGATACACAGACACACACACACACAGACACACACAGACACACACAGTCACACACACACACAGATACACACACACACACACAGTCACACACACACAGATACACAGACACACACACACACAGATACACACACACAGTCACACACACACACAGACACACACACAGTCACACACACGCACACACACACACAGCCACACACAGACACACAGACACACACACACAGTCACACACACACAGATACACACACACACACTCAGATACACACACAGTCACACACACAGACAGATACACACACAGTCACACACACAGACAGACACACACACACAGACACACACAGATACACACACACAGACACACACACAGACACACACAGACACAGACACACAGACACACACAGTCACACACAGATACACACACACAGATACACACACAGTCACACACACACACAGACACACACATACACACAGACACACACAGACACACACACACAGACACACACACAGACACACACACAGACACACGGACCGCGCTACTGCGCGCGCCACGCAAATGCGTAGCGACCCAAATTCCTCAAGCTGACGGGACTGCCGGGCAAGTGGACCGAGAGAGAGAGAGACAAGGGGGGGATTTTCCTCCGCCTTGGGCGCGGGGGGCGAGGCCTACCGGGGGCGGGGGGGGGGGGGCTAAGGTGAGATCCCGACCGTCGAAGGCGGCATCGCGAAGACGACCGCCCCGGTGGGAGCGGGGGCCACGAGCGTTGGACGAGGAGAGTTTGGGGGGGGGGGCGTGAGAAGGTTCGGGAAGGAGTTGCCGTAAAAGGAGAGGCGTGGGGGGACAAGTCTGGGCCCCCCAGGGGCAGCGCGTCGTTCCCAAGGTAGAGGCGCGGAATAATTCCGCGCGTCGGCGAGATTACACAAGCAGGCAGAGGTTGCAGTGACGGGTTTTTACCCCTTTTAACTGGCACAAAAGACTGACACCTTTATTTAAGGCGTCATGTTTGCAATAACCACAACACAAGCAGTCAAAATGCAAACAAAAAAGAGAGACAACTCTGATAATGATATTGGCACTGTCCTTGAATTTGATTGGTCCACACCAGAGACGGCTTTTCTTAGAGCCCCTTAAGTCTCCACTGGTGTTGGACCAGAAGACGCCAAAAGGCGTACAACTCAAAAACAGCAGAGCACCATCAGAGTCTTGAGGGCTCGGGGTGAGCATTTACATTATGAGACCTCCTTTAACAGTAACAAGATATAGGAATAGGTTTTTACCCCTTTTAACTGGCACAAAAAACTGACACCTTTATTCAAGGCGTCATGTTTGCAATAGCCACAACACAAGCAGTCAAAATGCAAACAAAAAAGAGACAACTCTGATAATGATATTGGCACTGTCCTTGAATTTGATTGGTCCACACCCGAGACGGCTTTTCTTAGAGCCCTTAAGTCTCCACTGGTGTTGGGCCAGAAGACGCCAAAAGGCGTACAACTCAAAAACAGCAGAGCACTATCAGAGTATTGAGGGCTTGGGGTGAGCATTTACATTATGGGTAAAAACCTATTACTATATCTTGTTACTGGCAAAGGAGGTCTCATAATGTAAATGCTCACCCCGAGCCCTCAATACTCTGATGGTGCGCTGTTTTTGAGTTGTACGCCTTTTGGCGTCTTCTGGTCCAACACCAGTGGAGACTAAAGGGGCTCTAAGAAAAGCCGTCTCTGGTGTGGACCAATCAAATTCAAGGACAGTGCCAATATCATTATCAGAGTTGTCTTCTTTTTTGTTGGCATTTTTGACTGCTTGTGTTGTAGTTATTGCAAACATGACACCTTGAATAAAGGTGTCAGTTTTTTGTGCCAGTTAAAAGGGTAAAAACCTATCACTACATCTTGTTACTGGCAAAAGGAGGTCTCGTAAGGCGGAGGTCGCTCGCTAAAAGCGCTTGCCCCAACGGTCTGTTGAGGCTACGCGCGGGGGGGGCGAGGGGGTGGATCTTTTGTCTTTGTTAGGTGCGCGTTGAAACTCTTTCGCTGCCACCGTGCGCGGCCGACGGCGCCAATTTTGAGGCGCGCGGTGGCGGGGGGGAGGAGGACAACAAACTGAAGACAAGAACAAGAAGCAGGTCTAAAGCAAATTGTTTTTTGATGATGACGGTGGTGGTGGTGGTGGTGGCGGCAATGATGGTGATTGATGTCTGCGATGATGATCAGGATGGTGACTGTGGTGGTGGTGGCGGCAATGATGGTGATTGATGACTGCGATGATGATCAGGATGGTGACTGTGGTGGTGGTGGCAATGATGGTGATTGATGACTGCGATGATGATCAGGATGGTGACGGTGGTGGTGGTGGTGGCGGCAATGATGGTGATTGATGACTGCGATGATGATCAGGATGGTGACGGTGGTGGTGGTGGTAATGGCGGCAATGATGGTGATTGCTGACTGCGATGATGATCAGGATGGTGACGGTGGTGGTGGTGGTGGCAATGATGGTGATTGATGACTGCGATGATGATCAGGATGGTGACGGTGGTGGTGGTGGTGGCAATGATGGTGATTGATGACTGCGATGATGATCAGGATGGTGACAGTGGTGGTGGTGGCGGCAATGATGGTGATTGATGACTGCGATGATGATCAGGATGGTGACGGTGGTGGTGGTGGTGGCGGCAATGATGGTGATTGATGACTGCGATGAGGATCAGGATGGTGACGGTGATGGTGGTGGCGGTGGCGGCAATGATCGTGATTGATGACTGCGATGATGATCAGGATGGTGACAGTGGTGGTGGTGGCGGCAATGATGGTGATTGATGACTGCGATGATGATCAGGATGGTGACGGTGGTGGTGGCGGCGGCAATGATGGTGATTGATGACTGCGATGATGATCAGGATGGTGACTGTGGTGGTGGTGGTGGTGGCGGCGGCAATGATGGTGATTGATGACTGCGATGATGATCAGGATGGTGACTGTGGTGGTGGTGGCGGCAATGATGGTGATTGATGACTGCGATGATGATCAGGATGGTGACGGTGATGGTGGTGGTGGCGGCAATGATGGTGATTGATGACTGCGATGATGATCAGGATGGTGACGGTGGTGGTGGTGGCGGCAATGATGGTGATTGATGACTGCGATGATGATCAGGATGGTGACGGTGGTGGTGGTGGCGGCAATGATGGTGATTGATGACTGCGATGATGATCAGGATGGTGACGGTGGTGGTGGTGGTGGCGGCAATGATGGTGATTGATGACTGCGATGATGATCAGGATGGTGACGGTGGTGGTGGTGGCGGCAGCAATGATGGTGATTGATGACTGCGATGATGATCAGGATGGTGACTGTGGTGGTGGTGGTGGCGGCAATGATGGTGATTGATGACTGCGATGATGATCAGGATGGTGACTGTGGTGGTGGTGGTGGCGGCAATGATGGTGATTGATGACTGCGATGATGATCAGGATGGTGACGGTGGTGGTGGTGGCGGCAATGATGGTGATTGATGACTGCGATGATGATCAGGATGGTGACGGTGGTGACGGTGGTAGTGGCAGCAATGATGGTGATTGATGTCTGCGATGATGATCAGGATGGTGACGGTGGTAGTGGCGGCAATGATGGTGATTGATGACTGCGATGATGATCAGGATGGTGACGGTGGTAGTGGCAGCAATGATGGTGATTGATGTCTGCGATGATGATCAGGATGGTGACGGTGGTGGTGGCGGCAATGATGGTGATTGATGACTGCGATGATGATCAGGATGGTGACGGTGGTAGTGGTGGCGGCAATGATGGTGATTGATGACTGCGATGATGATCAGGATGGTGACGGTGGTAGTGGTGGCGGCAATGATGGTGATTGATGACCGCGATGATGATCAGGATGGTGACTGTGGTGGTGGTGGTGGCGGCGGCAATGATGGTGATTGATGACTGCGATGATGATCAGGATGGTGACGGTGGTGGTGGTGGCGGCAATGATGGTGATTGATGACTGCGATGATGATCAGGATGGTGACGGTGGTGGTGGTGGCGGCAATGATGGTGATTGATGACTGCGATGATGATCAGGATGGTGACGGTGGTGGTGGTGGCGGCGGCAATGATGGTGATTGATGACTGCGATGATGATCAGGATGGTGACGGTGGTGCTGGTGGTGTTAGTGACAACGACGATGATCACGATTGGGACGGCAGCTAATTGGGAGGCGCGGGGGAAGGACAACAAACTAAGCACCACAACAACAACAACAGCAAGCATTTTGATTTAAAGCTTTCGTTGGTTTTCACACCTGATGACGACTGCTTGTGTTGCAGTCGAAACGTTGTGAGAATTTTATTGATTTATATATATTTTATTATTTTATTGTTTTCCCTTCAACGTGACTTCACCGAAAGAACCAAGAATAACAACAAGCATCTCTAAAGAAAATAGTTTTTTGATAATGATTACGATGGTGGTGGTGGTGATAATGATGGTGATGACGATGACTGTGATGATGATAAGGATGGTGGTGGTGGTGATGGTGGTGTTAGTGGTGAAAACGCCGATGATCACAATGTATCAACGATGAACTTATTTCGCACCGTACTTAGCCAACCGCGCAAATCAGTGGTGCGGGGTAGGTGGTGGTGGTGGTGGCGAGGTACCTGCGTCTGCAGCCTGTCTGTGATGAGGTCCGTGGCTTTACAATCCTCTTCCTGTGGGACCCAAGTAACACACCAAAGACAAAGGTCCCCCGTGTAGCCTGTCACCGACCGTTTGGGGCAAAGTGTCGTCTTCGAGCAACTACGAAGGCCAGCAGTGTGGCACACGAGGGGGTGGGTGGCCAGTAGCTCGCCCGGCCGCCTTTGTCTCCCCCAGTGCTAGCGATGTTTACCACAACCACACACCGCACCAGGTACTCGTTTGAGGCAGAGCAGACCTAAGGGAGGGAGGGCTATGGACCCGGTTCAGATAATCGTCACCGGTGTTGGCCGTGAGCGGGAATTGAACTCGGGTTGCGGGGTTCGTAAGGCGATGCACTAACCGCGACACCACCACTTCCCAAGCACACACACACACACACAGTAACACAGACACACAGACACACACAGACACACACAGACACACAGATACAAACATACACACAGACACACACACAGTAACACAGACACAAACATACACACAGACACACACAGACACACAGATACAAACATACACACAGACACACACACACAGTAACACAGACACAAACATACACACACAGACACACACAAACGGAAACACAGACACACAGTAACACAGACACAAACATACACACAGACACACACACACAGACACACACAGTAACACAGACACAAACATACACACAGACACACACAGACACACACAGACACACAGATACAAACACACACAGACACACACACACAGTAACACAGACACAAACATACACACACAGACACACACACACGAAAACACAGATACACACAGTAACACAGACACAAACATACACACACACAGACACACAGACACACACAGTAACACAGACACAAACATACACACAGACAGACACGGACACACAAACACACAGACACACACAGAAAGACAGACACAAACATACACACAGACACACACACAGACACACAGAAACACAGACACAAACATACACACAGACACACACGGAAACACACGCAGAAAGAGAGACACAGACACACACAGTAACACAGACAAACATACACACAGACAGACACAGACACACACAGTAACACAGACACAAACATACACACAGATAGACACACAGACACAAACATACACACAGATAGACACACAGACACAAACATACACACAGATAGACACACAGACACACAAACACACAGACACACACAGAAAGACAGACAAACATACACACAGACACACACAAACACACACACAGACAGACACAAACACAGACAAACAAACACAGTAACAGACACAAACATACACACACACACAAACACACAGACACACAGACACACACAGACAGACACAAACATACACACAGACAAACACAAACATACACACAGACAGACACACATATAGACACACACACACGGAAACACACACAGAGAGACACACAGACAGACATACACACAACAACGTAACTAACGCAACACCGTTCCACAGCTATAGGTGCTACTCGCCAACAGCACTTGCCCCTACAGCCTGTATAGAGGCTACACGGGGAATCTTTGTCTTCGTCTTCTTCACAGGCGCTGCTACTCGCTAACAGCACTTGCCCCTGCAGGATAAAATATAGAGGCTAGATGGGGGACATGTGTCTTTGTCTCCCTCATGGGTGCTGCTGCTGCTACTTGCTCACAGCACTTGCCCCTACAGCCTGTTAAGAGGCTACACGGGGGATCTTTGTCTCCTTCATGGGCATTGCTACTTCGCTAACAGCACTTGCCCCTGCAGCCTGTCAAGAGGCTACACGGGGGATCTTTGTCTCCTTCATAGGCATTGCTACTTCGCTAACAGCACTTGCCCCTACAGCCTGTCAAGAGGCTACAGAGGGGACATTTATCTCCGTCATGGGCATTTCTACTTCGCTAACAGCACTTGCCCCTGCAGCCTGTCAAGAGGCTACACGGGGGAATCTTTGTCTCCTTCATAGGCATTGCTACTCCATGAGAACACTTGCCCCTGCAGCCTGTCAAGAGGCTACACAGGGGACATTTATCTCCGTCATAGGCATTGCTCCTCGATGAGAACACTTGCCCCTACAGCCTGTCAAGAGGCTACACGGGGGACATGTCTCCTTCATAGGCATTGCTACTTCGCTGACAGCACTTGCCCCTACAGCCTGTCAAGAGGCTACACAGGGGACATTCATCTCCTTCATAGGCATTGCTACATCGCTAACAGCACTTGCCCCTGCAGCCTGTCAATAGGCTATACGGGGGACCTTTGTCTCCTTCATAGGCATTGCTACTTCGCTAACAGCACTTGCCCCTGCAGCCTATCAAGAGGCTATACGGGGGACCTTCGTCTCCTTCATAGGCATTGCTACTCCATGAGAACACTTGCCCCAACAGCCTGTTAAGAGGCTACACGGGGGACGTCTCCTCCATAGGCATTGCTACTCCATGAGAACACTTGCCCCTGCAGCCTCTACAGAGGCGACACTGGGGACACTTGTCTTCGTGTGTGCTCACCTCCTGCACGTGACGCATGTGGATGTCTATGAGTGACTCCAGGACGTGTGGCACGGCCGAGCCCAGCAGCGAGGAGTAGGCATGCGCCAGCAGCTGCAGCTGGAGGCTTCCGGCCTGCACCGGAAACAATGGAGGGGCAAAGGCGGGGCACCGTCCACCAGGCTGTTCGGCGTGTTGGTTGAGTGGGTGAGATGGTGGGTGGGGTGGGTGAGTGAGATGGTGGGTGAGTGAGATGGTGGGTGGGATGGTGAGATGGTGTGTGGGTGGGTGGGTGAAATGGTAGGTGGGTGGGATAGTGGGTGGGTGAGATGGTGGGTGGGTGAGATGGTGGGTGGGATGGTGAGATGGTGTGTGGGTGGGTGAGTGAAATGGTAGGTGAGTGGGTGAGATAGTGGGTGGGTGGGTGAGATGGTGGGTGGGATGGTGAGATGGTGGGTGGGTGAGATGTTGGTTGAGTGAGTTAAATGGTAAGTGGGCGAGTGAGATGGTGGGTGGGTGAGATGTTGGTTGAGTGAGTGAAATGGTAGGTGGGCGAGTGAGATGGTGGGTGGGTGAGATGGTGGGTGGGATGGTGAGATGGTGTGTGGGTGGGTGAGTGAAATGATAGGTGGGTGGGTGAGATAGTGGGTGGGTGGGTGAGATAGTGGGTGGGTGGGTGAGATAGTGGGTGGGTGAGATGGTGGGTGGGTTGAGATGGTTGGTCGGATGGTAAGATGGTGTGTGGGTGGGTGAGTGAAATGGTAGGTGGGTGAGATAGTGGGTGGGTGGGTGAGATGGTGGGTGGGTGAGATTGTGGGTGGGTGAGATGGTGAGTGGGATTGTGAGATGGTGGGTGGGTGAGATGTTGGTTGAGTGAAATGGTAGGTGGGTGAGTGAGATGGTGGGTGGGATGGTGAGATGGTGGGTGGGATGGTGTGTGGGTGGGTGAGTGAAATGGTAGGTGGGTAGGTGAGACAGTGGGTGGGTGGGTGAGATGGTGGGTGGGTTGAGATGGTTGGTCGTATGGTGAGATGGTGTGTGGGTGGGTGAGTGAAATGGAAGGTGGGTGGGTGAGATAGTGGGTGGGTGAGATGGTGGGTGGGTGAGATAGTGGGTGGGTGAGATAGTGGGTGGGTGGGTGAGATGGTGGGTGGGATGGTGAGATGGTGTGTGGGTGGGTGAGTGAAATGGTAGGTGGGTGGGTGAGATGGTTGGTGGGATGGTGAGATGGTGGGTGGGTGAGATGTTGGTTGAGTGAGATGGTGGGTGGATAGGTGGATGAGATGATGGGTGGGTGAGATGGTGGTTGAGTGGGTGATTGAAATGGTAGGTGGGTGAGTTAAATGGTGGGTGAGTGAGATGGTGGGTGGCATGGTGAGATGGTGTGTGAGTGGGTGAGTGAAATGGTAGGTGGGTGGGTGAGATAATGGGTGGGTGGGTGAGATGGTGGGTGGGTGAGATGGTGGGTGGGTGAGATGGTGGGTGGGTGAGATGGTTAGTGGGATGGTGAGATGGTGTGTGGGTGGGCGAGTGAATTGGTAGGTGGGTGGGTGAGTTAAATGGGTGGGTGGGTGAGATGGTGGGTGGGTTGATATGGTGGGTGGGATGGTGAGATGGTGTGTGGGTGGGTGAAATGGTAGGTGGGTGGGTGAGATAGTGGGTGGGTGAGATGGTGGGTGGGTGAGATGGTGGGTGGGATGGTGAGATGGTGGGTGGGTGAGATGTTGGTTGAGTGAGTGAAATGGTAGGTAGGTGAGTGAGATGGTAGGTGGGTGAGTGAGATGGTGGGTGGGTGAGATGGTGGGTGGGATGGTGAGATGGTGTGTGGGTGAGTGAAATGGTAGGTGGGTGGGTGAGATGGTGGGTGGGTGAGATGGTGGGTGGGATGGTGAGATGGTGTGTGGGTGGGTGAAATGGTAGGTGGGTGGGTGAGATAGTGGGTGGGTGAGATGGTGAGTGGGATGGTGAGATGGTGTGTGGGTGGGTGAAATGGTAGGTGGGTGGGTGAGATAGTGGGTGGGTGAGATGGTGGGTGGGTGAGATAGTGGGTGGGTGGGTGAGATGGTGGGTGGGTGAGATGGTGGGTGGGATGGTGAGATGGTGTGTGGGTGGGTGAAATGGTAGGTGGGTGGGTGAGATAGTGGGTGGGTGAGATGGTGGGTGGGTGAGATGGTGGGTGGGACGGTGAGATGGTGGGTGGGTGAGATGTTGGTTGAGTGAGTGAAATGGTAGGTAGGTGAGTGAGATGGTAGGTGGGTGAGTGAGATGGTGGGTGGGTGAGATGGTGGGTGGGATGGTGAGATGGTGTGTGGGTGGGTGAGTGAAATGGTAGGTGGGTGGGTGAGATAGTGGGTGGGTGAGATGGTGGGTGGGTGAGATGGCTGGTGGGATGGTGAGATGGTGGGTGGGTGAGATGTTGGTTGAGTGAGATGGTGGGTGGATAGGTGGATGAGATGATGGGTGGGTGAGATGGTGGTTGAGTGGGTGATTGAAATGGTAGGTGGGTGAGTGAGATGGTGGGTGGGTGAGATGGTGGATGGGATGGTGAGATGGTGTGTGGGTGGGTGAGTGAGTGAAATGGTAGGTGGGTGAGATAGTGGGTGGGTGAGATGGTGGGTGGGATGGTGAGATGGTGTGTGGGTGGGTGAGTGAGTGAAATGGTAGGTGGGTGAGATAGTGGGTGGGTGATATGGTGGGTGGGATGGTGAGATGGTGGGTGGGTGAGATGTTGGTTGAGTGAGATGGTGGGTGGATAGGTGGATGAGATGATGGGTGGGTGAGATGGTGGTTGAGTGGGTGAGTGAAATGGTGGATGAGTGAGATGGTGGGCGAGTGAGATGGTGGATGGTGAGATGGTGTGTGGGTGGGTGAAATGGTAGGTGGGTGAGATAGTGGGTGGGTGGGTGAGATGGTGGGTGGGTGAGTGAAATGGTAGGTGGGTGAGATAGTGGGTGGGTGAGATGGTGGGTGGGATGGTGAGATGGTGGGTGGGTGAGTTGTTGGGTGGGATGGTGAGATGGTGGGTGGGTGAGATGTTGGTTGAGTGAGATGGTGGGTGGATAGGTGGATGAGATGATGGGTGGGTGAGATGTTGGTTGAGTGGGTGAGTGAAATGATAGGTGGGCGAGTGAGATGGTGGGTGAGATGGTGGGCGAGTGAGATGGTGGGTGGGTGAGATTGTGGGTGAGTAAATGATTGAGTGAGCGAGATGCCGAGCGAGTTCTAGAGTTCAACTAAATTCTGTGTGACCAGGCTGAGAACTCTGGAGAGACCAGGACTGGATTTTCTCAGTCGCAAAAAATTGGCGAAATTGGGACGGTGACGCCGGCACATGATGATCCCCCTCTGACCGAGCGATGTCACCGGACCTTTAACGATTACGGTGGCGACAATAATGCAACGATGTTGGTGGTGGCGGCGGCGGCGGCGACGGTGACCACAACGTGAACTCCGACCTCCCTCCGCTCACCTCCCCGTGGAACCTGGGCTGACTCAGCCTCAGGCCCTCGCTCTCCAGCAGCTCCAAGAGCCTCGCCTTGAGCTTGAGCCGCGAGATCCTGGCCCCTTCGCCGCCGCCGCCGCCCGGCACACGGTCGGAGGACTTTCCCACCTCCTCCAGGCTGATGTCGTGTGGCTCTAGGGTGAAGTAAAGGCCCGACGATGCCGCCGCCCCAGCCGCACCGGAGTTTGCCGTTGACGAGGAGGAGCGGCAGGAGGAGGAGGAGGAGGAGGTGACGGGGGAGGCCCGCAAGGGCGACGGAGCGGCCAGCAGAGCGGCCGCCGCGTCCAGCAGGGCCCGGCGGTGGCCCGGGTCGGCCACGCCGACGGCGTCGAGGTCGGCGTGCCCCAGGCGGCTGGCCATGTCCAGGTCGTCGTAGCCGTTGTCGACGAGGCGGGGAAGGTAGGCCTGCAGGCCCAGCGAGGTGAGCCACGCACGCAGGCCTTCGCTTGCCTCCATGGGGGCTGGTGGGCGAGGGGAGGGGAGAGGGAGAGGGGAGGGAGGGGAGGGAGGGAGAGGGAGGGAGGGAGGGGAGGGAGGGAGGGAGAGAGGGAGGGGAGGGGATGGAGGGAGGGGAGGGAGGGAGGGAGGGAGGGAAGGGAGGGAGGGAGGGGAGGGGAGGGAGGGGAGGGAGGGAGAGAGGGAGGGAAGGGGGGGATGGGAGGGAGGGAAGGGAGGGAGGGGAGGGAGGGAAGGGGAGGGAGGGAGGGAGAGAGGGAGGGAAGGGGGGGATGGGAGGGAGGGGAGGGAGGGAGGGGAGGGAGGGAGGGAAGGGGGGAGGGAGGGAGGGGAGGGGAGGGAGGGATGGAGGAAAGGGAGGGAGGGTCGCTCAAGCCCGCTCCTCAGGCTGCCAGACTGCACACCGCCAAGGGAGGTAGGTCACACACGGTGTGTGGGTTACATTCTGTGGACAAAGCTCGCTGCATTATCAATTGTCAGGCGCGACGCCTAACTTTCCACCCCCCGCTCCCCCGTCATCATTAAATCGTTGTTATTATGCTGATGAACAGGTTTGTTGATGGTGCCGATGGTGGTGGTGGTGGTGCTGTAGTCGTGGAGAGCGTTGGCGTAGCGGTGAGCAGCGCTACGCCAACGCCGGCCCGGAGGTCATCCGAACCGGTCCTGGGCCTCCGCCCCCTAGGCAGCCTCGGCCTCAAGCGAGTACCTGGTACGGTGGCTAAGTAACAACCATCGCCACCGGCCTTCATAGCTGCTGTTCGCCAACACCACTTGTCGCGACAGCCAGTCCAGGCTATGCTGGCGGGGGAAGGGGGGGGGGGATGATCTTTTAGTTTACCTTCGGTGCCGACGTAGTAGCACATTGGGCACGCTGCGTTCACGTGACAAACCTTAACAGTTGACTGTGCCGGTTGGAGGACGGCGTCACGACACACTAACGAGATCTAACCGCCGACGCGGCAACCAAAAAATCGTCACGGTAAAAAAATGTTTTTTTTGTTTTTTAAAATTTGGTTCAAAAAAAAGAAATGTCGGGGGACAGTGACGCCGTGGGAAACACGGTCGGACTAACCCCGTGCCAACAACGTCACGGGAATCTTCAACATCGCAGATGGCATGCGCGTACCATGTATCCACTCGCTCAGCCACACACTCCGTTACTCGCTCAGTCGGCCACACACTCCGTTACCCACACAGTCGGTCACACAGTCGGTCACACAGTCGGTCACCCCACTCGGTCACCCCACTCGGTCACCCCACTCGGTTACCCGCCCATCCACTCAAACAGCCACACACACTCAGTCATGCCATCACTCAGCCACCCACTCATCCACCCACCCACTCACCCACAAATACTGTTGCGAATGTCGTCACGGGATCTTTAAATCCGTCCACTGTGACTGAAGCAGACAGTGCCTGGTAGCAGTGGCATTACGGTTAACCCACACGCGCACACACACACACACAACCGCAGTGTTAACCAGGGTGGCCCACCAGGGTAGAAACGTTATAACGCTGGGCTACGCCACCACCATCCTGTTTAAGAGGAGTCTGGGCTGTGGTTAATTTTGTCAGAGCGTGCAGCCTGAATGGTTGGGTTTACGTTGTGACTCATCTCTCCTGCACCGAGAGATTGACTGTGAAGTCACACAGGGATAGAGACAAAGGTCCCCCCCCCCCCCGTGTAGCCCACACACGGCTGTCGGGGCAAGTGCTGTTAGCGAGTAGCAGCAGCGCCTGTGAAGACCGGAACGGGTGGTGTGTGTGTGTGTGTGTTTAACACGTAGCTTTTCGCGACCAATATTATCCACGAGAGGTTTTTTTGGTGGGGGGGGGGGGGGGTTACATCGCCCCTTTCAGGGGGATTTATCCACAAATCTGGCTGTCGCCCAATGATGCTGCTTGTTGCTGTAAGAACTGGCGAAACATCACGGTAATCGAATTGTAAATGTCGAAGTGGGTTTACTCTCCAACACACAACTGGTGAGTGATGTACTAGTATACTACACTATACACTACACTATACTACACAACACACTACACTACACTATACACTACGCTATACACTACACTACGCTATACACTACAATTGTAAATGTCGAAGTGGGTTTACTCTCCAACACACAACTGGTTAGTGATGTACTAGTATACTACACTATACACTACACTATACACTACACACTACGCTATACACTACACTATACACTACGCTATACACTACACTATACACTACGCTACACACTACGCTATACACTACGCTATACACTACACTATACACTACACTACACTACGCTATACACTACAATTGTAAATGTCGTAGTGGGTTTACTCTCCAACACACAACTGGTTAGTGATGTACTAGTATACTACACTATACACTACACTATACACTACGCTATACACTACCCTATACACTACGCTATACACTACACTATACACTACGCTACACACTACGCTATACACTACGCTATACACTACGCTATACACTACGCTATACACTACACTACGCTATACACTACAATTGTAAATGTCGTAGTGAGTTTACTCTCCAACACACAACCGGTTAGCGATGTACTAGTATACTACACTATACACTACACTATACACTACGCTATACACTACGCTATACACTACAATTGTAAATGTCGTAGTGGGTTTACTCTCCAACACACAACTGGTTAGTGATGTACTAGTATACTACACTATACACTACACTATACACTACGCTATACACTACACTATACACTACGCTATACACTACACTATACACTACGCTACACACTACGCTATACACTACGCTATACACTACGCTATACACTACGCTATACACTACACTACGCTATACACTACAATTGTAAATGTCGTAGTGAGTTTACTCTCCAACACACAACCGGTTAGCGATGTACTAGTATACTACACTATACACTACACTATACACTACGCTATACACTACGCTATACACTACAATTGTAAATGTCGTAGTGGGTTTACTCTCCAACACACAACTGGTTAGTGATGTACTAGTATACTACACTATACACTACACTATACACTACGCTATACACTACACTATACACTACGCTATACACTACACTATACACTACGCTACACACTACGCTATACACTACGCTATACACTACGCTATACACTACGCTATACACTACACTACGCTATACACTACAATTGTAAATGTCGTAGTGAGTTTACTCTCCAACACACAACCGGTTAGCGATGTACTAGTATACTACACTATACACTACACTATACACTACGATATACACTACACTATACACTACACTACGCTATACACTACACACTACACTACGCTATACACTACACTACACACTACACTACGCTATACACTACAATTGTAAATGTCGAAGTGGGTTTACTCTCCAACACACAACCGGTTAGTGATGTACTAGTATACTACACTATACACTACACTATACACTACACACTACACTATACACTACACTATACACTACAATTGTAAATGTCGTAGTGGGTTTACTCTCCAACACACAACCGGTTAGCGATGTACTAGTATACTACACTATACACTACACACTACGATATACACTACACAATACACTACAATTGTAAATGCCGTAGTGGGTTTACTCTCCAACACACAACTGGTGAGTGATGTACTAGTATACTACACTATACACTACACTATACACTACACTATACACTACAATTGTAAATGTCGAAGTGGGTTTACTCTCCAACACACAACCGGTTAGTGATGTACTAGTATACTACACTATACACTACACTATACACTACAATTGTAAATGTCGTAGTGGGTTTACTCTCCAACACACAACCGGTTAGTGATGTACTAGTATACTACACTACACTATACACTACACACTACGCTATACACTACACTATACACTACAATTGTAAATGTCGTAGTGGGTTTACTCTCCAACACACAACCGGTTAGTGATGTACTAGTATACTACACTATACACTACACTATACACTACACTACGCTATACACTACACATTACACTATACACTACGCTATACACTACACTACACACTACACTAACGCTATACACTACAATTGTAAATGTCGTAGTGGGTTTACTCTCCAACACACAACCGGTTAGCGATGTACTAGTATACTACGCTATACACTACACTATACACTACGCTATACACTACACTATACACTACGCTACACACTACGCTATACACTACGCTATACACTACGCTATACACTACACTACGCTATACACTACAATTGTAAATGTCGTAGTGAGTTTACTCTCCAACACACAACCGGTTAGCGATGTACTAGTATACTACACTATACACTACACTATACACTACGCTATACACTACGCTATACACTACAATTGTAAATGTCGTAGTGGGTTTACTCTCCAACACACAACTGGTTAGTGATGTACTAGTATACTACACTATACACTACACTATACACTACGCTATACACTACACTATACACTACGCTATACACTACACTATACACTACGCTACACACTACGCTATACACTACGCTATACACTACGCTATACACTACGCTATACACTACACTACGCTATACACTACAATTGTAAATGTCGTAGTGAGTTTACTCTCCAACACACAACCGGTTAGCGATGTACTAGTATACTACACTATACACTACACTATACACTACGATATACACTACACTATACACTACACTACGCTATACACTACACACTACACTACGCTATACACTACACTACACACTACACTACGCTATACACTACAATTGTAAATGTCGAAGTGGGTTTACTCTCCAACACACAACCGGTTAGTGATGTACTAGTATACTACACTATACACTACACTATACACTACACACTACACTATACACTACACTATACACTACAATTGTAAATGTCGTAGTGGGTTTACTCTCCAACACACAACCGGTTAGCGATGTACTAGTATACTACACTATACACTACACACTACGATATACACTACACAATACACTACAATTGTAAATGCCGTAGTGGGTTTACTCTCCAACACACAACTGGTGAGTGATGTACTAGTATACTACACTATACACTACACTATACACTACACTATACACTACACTATACACTACAATTGTAAATGTCGAAGTGGGTTTACTCTCCAACACACAACCGGTTAGTGATGTACTAGTATACTACACTATACACTACACTATACACTACAATTGTAAATGTCGTAGTGGGTTTACTCTCCAACACACAACCGGTTAGTGATGTACTAGTATACTACACTACACTATACACTACACACTACGCTATACACTACACTATACACTACAATTGTAAATGTCGTAGTGGGTTTACTCTCCAACACACAACCGGTTAGTGATGTACTAGTATACTACACTATACACTACACTATACACTACACTACGCTATACACTACACATTACACTATACACTACGCTATACACTACACTACACACTACACTAACGCTATACACTACAATTGTAAATGTCGTAGTGGGTTTACTCTCCAACACACAACCGGTTAGCGATGTACTAGTATACTACGCTATACACTACACTATACACTACAATTGTAAATGTCGTAGTGGGTTTACTCTCCAACACACAACCGGTTAGTGCTTAACTAGCGACAAACTGGCCACGTGTTGTTTACGTGACAAATCCTTAACGATTGGCTGTGTGTCCAGTGGTGGCCGGTTTATCGACGCATTTTTATTGACGTGATCCAACCCCCGAAAAAAAACACAAACCTCTATTATGGGCGGTGTGTGGTCAGCACTGGCACCACGCCCCCTGCCCGGCCGCCTTTGTCTCCCCAGTGGCGGTGACGTCACCACGACGCTTGTGCCAGGCCATGTGCACCTTGAGGCCACGTGAAGTGTCGAACGCCCGCTGGCAGGAGGTCACGGGGCAGAACCAGCAGGTGCCACGGGTCGACTGACTTCAGATGACCGGCTGATGCACCACCCGTGCCCCCTACTGTGCCAACTTGCTGTGCTTTAGCCACGCATACCACCAATGGTATTCATATGAGGCCGAGTCGACCTAGGGGAGTCCCAGCTGCCGATTCGGATAATCGCCACTGATGATGGTGGTGGCCGTGAGCAGGAATCTAACTCGGGTGAATGCCGGGCCCATAGCGCATTTGCGCTACCCGCTGCACCACCACTCCACACCAGTCACACACATGATGATGATGGTATTCATGATGATGATGAATGTGGTGATGGTGATAATGATGATGGTGGTGGTCGTGATGTCTGTGTGTTGAACTTCTATGGCACCGTACGTAGCCAGCCGTGCTAATCGGAGGTGCGGGAATGCTGGTGGCAATGATGGTGGTGGTGGTGAAGATGATGATGGTGACGATGAAGGTTATTTGAGGTGTTAATGATGGTGGTGATTACGGTGATGATGCTGGTGGTGACGATGGTGGTGGTGTTGATGATGGTGGTGTTGATGGTGACAATGGTGGTGATGATGGTAGTGATGCTGGTGATGATGATGGTGGTGATGATAACGATTTTGGTGATGATTAGGATGGTGTTGATGATGGTGTTGATGATGATGGTGGTGATGATGCTGGTGATGATGCTGGTGATGATGATGTTGGTGTTGATGGTGACAATAATGACAATGGTGGTGGTGATGATGGTGATGCTGGTGATGGTGGTGTTGATGGTGACAATGGTGGTGGTGATGATGGTAGTGATGCTGGTGATGATGATGGTGGTGATGATAACGATTTTGGTGATGATTAGGATGGTGTTGATGATGGTGTTGATGATGATGGTGGTGATGGTGATGATGCTGGTGATGATGCTGGTGATGATGATGTTGGTGTTGATGGTGACAATAATGACAATGGTGGTGGTGATGATGGTGATGCTGGTGATGGTGGTGTTGATGGTGACAATGGTGGTGGTGATGATGGTAGTGATGATGATGGTGGTGATGATAACGATTTTGGTGATGATTAGGATGGTGTTGATGATGGTGTTGATGATGATGCTGGTGATGATGCTGGTGATGATGATGTTGGTGTTGATGGTGACAATAATGACAATGGTGGTGGTGATGATGCTGATGGTGGTGATAACGATTTTGGTGATGTTGGTGATTAAAATTGTATTCATGGTGTCAATAATGGCGATGATGATGTTGGTGATTAAAATGATGGCGTTGCTGATGACGATGTTGATGACAATGACTCTAACGTCACACATCTCTCTGCTCGCAATACAATTGACCTTGAATGGTGTAAGAATGGTGTAAGAATGATACTAGTCCAATTACAATAGCAATTATAACGCAGCAAAGCCTTCGTTAAAATGTATAACAGTGATTTAAAGCTTTCGTGACTGCAGGGATTCATATTCTTGGTTCTTTCGAAAGAACCAAGAATATGTACAAGTGTATGAATGTATTGCAGTGTAGAGTGTGACACACTATATTTGGTGCATGCTTAACAATGTACAGGACTGCATGATGATCGATTTTAAGTCTAATTAAAGCCACTAATTATTGCGTTAAAAGTGTATAATGTGTAAAACAGTGACAGATTATAATGTTGTATACAAGCCTACGTGAATGTATTAAAGAGTCTAACGACGTTCAAGACTGCGTATAAGTTAAGTTATATGTATAAGTTATATGTATAAGTTAATAAGACGCATGTGGGCGAATCCCTTCTGCGGTATTACAATGCACAATCCACTGCAACAATTGTTACAATCGGAGCAACTTTAACCCGTACACGAGCGTTTATCAAATAACAACATTAATAACTTTATGAACTTACAAGAGCGAGTGAGTTTTAATGTGTCTAGGGCACTTTTACAGTGGACAGTTTTAACCGCTATTCGATGCAGTGCGGCGTACGGGGACACTGTTACAATTACAAACTATTACGACTTTAACAAACCACCCCGGGGTGCGTTAAGAGTTATCACAAGAGTTGATAAAGATTTAAAACTCACCACCCATTAGGTGATCATCTGAAATCGCTTCTTGTTCGGGGTGCGCCTACACATTCAGACGCACGTTCCATTAACTCGATAAACAACAATTAACAACAACACGTTTCCTCAGAAAATGCTTCGCTATGCGAACGTTGATAAAGTAACGACCAAAAAAGCCGATTAAAACGCAACTATTTTACACGGAATATTAACAGATAAGGCCCCTCCGTCGGCTAAACTATGTCACGACTTTTTTTTTTCGATGTAAAGCTTTCGTGACCGCAGGGATTCCATATATTCGTGGTTCTTTCAAGATAAAGTCACCGCCGCGTAGAAGGGAAATAATAAAACAATAAAACGATACAATTCTCACGACGTTTCGGCCACAAACGCAGGCAGCCGTCCTCAGGATTAAAGCAAAAAAGTGGACATTTTAAAAGCGGTACTCTTTAAAAAAAACGAAACGAAAAACACTTTCGATGCCTCGAAAAACAAAACAAAACCAACAACTTAGGCGTCAAACTCCATTAACTTTTTTTTTACTGTGGTTAAACAAAAAATTTAAAGTTTTTTTTTTTACACTAAAAAACTTAAGATTCTGAGGGGGAAAAAAACTTTTAACGAACCCCAAACGCCGCCACCACCACCACAGCCGCAGCAGCAGCAGCAGCGACAACTTCCTGAGGGGCGGGCGGAGCGAGCGACGAGGTGGTGGGGGAGGGAGCCGCTTTAACGCCTCGGTAACGATGAGAGGAGAGACGAGGAGGAGGAAGAGGAGGAGATGAGAGGAGGAGAAGGATAAAGTGCGGTGGCCATATCCTTTGGTTCTTTGGGTAAAGTCACGTAGATAGAAAATTTGTAAAAAATTTTTTTTTTTTAAAGTAAATGTTAAATTAAATTAAAAATACAATTAAAAAAATGTAATACAAAATAAAAGCAGAGAAAAACCCCGCCCCCCGACCCCCACGACGTTTCGATCGCAAGGCAAGCGGTCTTCATCAGGCGGAGAAGAAAAAAAACTTGCGGTGGCCATGTTGGTAAGGTGTTTGGGTAGCGCCCATGCTGAGTCAATGGGGGCGGCGGCGGCGGTGGGGAGTGAGGCGATGAGTCCCTGAGCAAGATGGCCGCCGCCACCAAAAACTGGGTTATCCCTACGCAAGATGGCTGACCGCCGCCCACCGAACAGCGGGCTATCCCTGCATAAAAGATGGCTGACGGCTCTCCCCCACCCCCCCCACGTTACGTTGACGTCACGCGCAATCTCCGCCCCTAATGATCGGACGAGGAAAGAGAGAGATAGACGGATCGATTCCCCGATTCCAGTATCGATTCCCTAACTGTTTTAAATCACCGGCGCCGCGTGTAGAATCAAACACCGGCGGGAAGGGCAAATCGATTACTTGTGGAGAGAATCTAAGCCTCAGCGATTCACCACCCCGCCGCCCACCCGCCGCCGCCGGAAGCGTTGGTCGTGCGGGTGACGTCACGAGGGGGATTCCCCCCAAATCTACCCCCCTCGCGATGACGTCACGCCTGAGGCATGTGGCTAATAACGTCACTGTGCGTTTATCGCGGTGGGGGGGGGATAACAGTGGGGGGTGGGGGGGATGACGTCAGGATGACGGCGAGAATCTTATGTATTTTTGTTCGATTTCTCGATTCGCAATGAAATTCGATTACGTATAAGAATCGCAAATTGTGATCGGTTCCAAACTCGCAATCGATTCTCTGCCCACCGTGCGCTGACCCCGTGTGCTGATGATGATTTGATGGCGCTGATGATGATTTGGTGGTGCTAATGATGATTTGGTGGTGCTGCTGATGATTTGGTGGTGCTGCTGATGATTTGATGCTGATGATGATTTTATGGTGCTGATGATGATTTGATGCTGATGATGATGATTTGATGCTGATGATGATTTGGTGGTGCTGATGATGATTTGGTGGTGCTGCTGATGATTTGGTGGTGCTGATGATGATTTGGTGGTGCTGATGATTTGGTGGTGCTGATGATGATTTGATGGTGCTGATGATGATTTGGTGGTGCGGCTGATGATTTGATGCTGATGATGATTTGATGGTGCTGATGATGATTTGGTGGTGCTGATGATGATTTGATGCTGATTATTTGGTGGTGCTGATGATGATTTGGTGGTGCTGATGATGATTTAGTGGTGCTGATGATGATTTGGTGGTGCTGCTGATGATTTGATGCTGATGATGATTTGATGGTGCTGATGATTTGATGCTGATGATGATTTGATGGTGCTGATGATGATTTGGTGGTGCTGATGATTTGATGCTGATGATGATTTGGTGGTGCTGATGATGATTTGATGGTGCTGATGATGATTTGGTGGTGCTGATGATGATTTGGTGGTGCTGATGATGATTTGATGGTGCTGATAATGATTTGATGGTGCTGATGATGATTTGGTGGTGCGGCTGATGATTTGATGCTGATGATGATTTGATGGTGCTGATGATGATGATTTGGTGGTGCTGATGATGATTTGATGCTGATGATGATTTGGTGGTGCTGATGATGATTTGGTGGTGCTGATGATGATTTGGTGGTGCTGATGATGATTTGATGGTGCTGATGATGATTTGGTGGTGCTGATGATGATTTGGTGGTGCTGATGATGATTTGATGGTGCTGATGATGATTTGGTGGTGCGGCTGATGATTTAATGCTAATGATGATTTGGTGGTGCTGATGATGATTTGGTGGTGCTGATGATGATTTGATGGTGCTGATGATGATTTCGTGGTGCTGATGATGATTTGGTGGTGCTGATGATGATTTAGTGGTGCTGATGATGATTTGGTGGTGCTGATGATGATTTGATGGTGCTGATGATTTGATGCTGATGATGATTTGATGGTGCTGATGATGATTTGGTGGTGCTGATGATTTGATGCTGATGATGATTTGGTGGTGCTGATGATGATTTGATGGTGCTGATGATGATTTGGTGGTGCTGATGATGATTTGGTGGTGCTGATGATGATTTGATGGTGCTGATCATGATTTGATGGTGCTGATGATGATTTGGTGGTGCGGCTGATGATTTGATGCTGATGATGATTTGATGGTGCTGATGATGATGATTTGGTGGTGCTGATGATGATTTGATGCTGATGATGATGATTTGGTGGTGCTGATGATGATTTGGTGGTGCTGATGATGATTTGGTGGTGCTGATGATGATTTGATGGTGCTGATGATGATTTGGTGGTGCTGATGATGATTTGGTGGTGCTGATGATGATTTGATGGTGCTGATGATGATTTGGTGGTGCGGCTGATGATTTAATGCTAATGATGATTTGGTGGTGCTAATGATGATTTGGTGGTGCTGATGATTTGATGGTGCTGATGATGATTTGGTGGTGCTGATGATGATGATGATTTGGTGGTGCTGATGATGATTTAGTGGTGCTGATTTGGTGGTGCTGATGATGATTTGGTGGTGCTGATGATGATTTAGTGGTGCTGATGATGATTTGATGGTGCTGATGATGATTTGGTGGTGCTGATGATGATTTGATGGTGCTGATGATGATTTGATGGTGCTGATAATGATTTGATGGTGCTGATGATGATTTGGTGGTGCGGCTGATGATTTGATGCTGATGATGATTTGATGGTGCTGATGAAGATTTGGTGGTGCTCATGATGATTTGATGCTGATGATGATGATTTGGTGGTGCTGATGATGATTTGATGGTGCTGATGATGATTTGGTGGTGCTGATGATGATTTGGTGGTGCTGATGATGATTTGATGGTGCTGATGATGATTTGGTGGTGCGGCTGATGATTTAATGCTAATGATGATTTGGTGGTGCTGATGATGATTTGGTGGTGCTGATGATTTGATGGTGCTGATGATGATTTGGTGGTGCTGATGATGATTTGATGGTGCTGATGATGATTTGATGGTGCTGATAATGATTTGATGGTGCTGATGATGATTTGGTGGTGCGGCTGATGATTTGATGCTGATGATGATTTGATGGTGCTGATGAAGATTTGGTGGTGCTCATGATGATTTGATGCTGATGATGATGATTTGGTGGTGCTGATGATGATTTGATGGTGCTGATGATGATTTGGTGGTGCTGATGATGATTTGGTGGTGCTGATGATGATTTGATGGTGCTGATGATGATTTGGTGGTGCGGCTGATGATTTAATGCTAATGATGATTTGGTGGTGCTGATGATGATTTGGTGGTGCTGATGATTTGATGGTGCTGATGATGATTTGGTGGTGCTGATGATGATTTGGTGGTGCTGATGATGATTTAGTGGTGCTGATGATGATTTGGTGGTGCTGATGATGATTTGGTGGTGCTGATGATGATTTAGTGGTGCTGATGATGATTTGATGGTGCTGATGATGATTTGGTGGTGCTGATGATGATTTGATGGTGCTGATGAAGATTTGGTGGTGCGGCTGATGATTTCATGCTGATGATGATTTGATGGTGCTGATGAAGATTTGGTGGTGCTCATGATGATTTGATGCTGATGATGATGATTTGGTGGTGCTGATGATGATTTGATGGTGCTGATGATGATTTGGTGGTGCTGATGATGATTTGGTGGTGCTGATGATGATTTGATGGTGCTGATGATGATTTGGTGGTGCGGCTGATGATTTAATGCTAATGATGATTTGGTGGTGCTGATGATGATTTGGTGGTGCTGATGATTTGATGGTGCTGATGATGATTTGGTGGTGCTGATGATGATTTGATGGTGCTGATGATGATTTGATGGTGCTGATAATGATTTGATGGTGCTGATGATGATTTGGTGGTGCGGCTGATGATTTGATGCTGATGATGATTTGATGGTGCTGATGAAGATTTGGTGGTGCTCATGATGATTTGATGCTGATGATGATGATTTGGTGGTGCTGATGATGATTTGATGGTGCTGATGATGATTTGGTGGTGCTGATGATGATTTGGTGGTGCTGATGATGATTTGATGGTGCTGATGATGATTTGGTGGTGCGGCTGATGATTTAATGCTAATGATGATTTGGTGGTGCTGATGATGATTTGGTGGTGCTGATGATTTGATGGTGCTGATGATGATTTGGTGGTGCTGATGATGATTTGGTGGTGCTGATGATGATTTAGTGGTGCTGATGATGATTTGGTGGTGCTGATGATGATTTGGTGGTGCTGATAATGATTTGATGGTGCTGATGATGATTTGGTGGTGCGGCTGATGATTTGATGCTGATGATGATTTGATGGTGCTGATGAAGATTTGGTGGTGCTCATGATGATTTGATGCTGATGATGATGATTTGGTGGTGCTGATGATGATTTGATGGTGCTGATTATGATTTGGTGGTGCTGATGATGATTTGGTGGTGCTGATGATGATTTGATGGTGCTGATGATGATTTGGTGGTGCGGCTGATGATTTAATGCTAATGATGATTTGGTGGTGCTGATGATGATTTGGTGGTGCTGATGATGATTTGGTGGTGCGGCTGATGATTTGATGCTGATGATGATTTGATGGTGCTGATGATGATGATTTGGTGGTGCTGATGATGATTTGATGCTGA